ACCCTGAACAAACCTCTTTACCCCTTTTTTTGTTTTATTCAAATTATTACACAAACATTTTAAATTAAATTTGCCCATTGTTTTCTTATTGTGGTTATTTCTTGTAATTGTTTATATTTATAATAAGTTTACTATTGTAATCTTTGGAGGAAACAATATAAAGTATTCGAGAGAGAGAGAAAGACAGAGAATCTATCTATCTATCTATTAGTAACAAATCAATACATTAAATTAAACGACTTTTGATTTGACTTACTATTTGGCATCAGTCAACTGTTTTATGGTCAGTCATTTATACGTTTGTTCACATTTTCCTTAAGTTTTATTATAACTAACTATATACGAGATTAATATTCTTATTGAAATTATTCACTATGAGTCTATCAAGTAATCTTCAAAAGGTACAGACAGCAACAATAGTAATAAAACAATGTTTTATTACTAATAAAACATTCAATTTATTTTCTTACTGTAAAGTGATACAATAATATTCACAAGTTATCGAATTTAGTTGCTGACTGTACTTACATTGGTTTTTTTATTTTCCTCCTCATTATCGCCGCTTATAAATCATAATAGTATAAAAAAAAAACAATAGTTTAACTACCTTCTTAGGCGGAGTAGTTATTTTTATTTTCTTTTTCATTATTCACATTATCACTTAATTATTTTATTTAAAAGTTAAAAAACAATAAAACTGTCAGCCAGCATTTTCAAATCGAGCACACACGACATGGTACAACTAACGAGGCGACTAGATGAGCGACAAACACACAACCGACCCGGATCGGTTTTTTTACAACACTGTTTGATGGCATCAAACATGAGAGAGTCTTAATGAGTAATATTGACACATTGCTCAGAGCACCGTGTAGCCGACAATAGAAATGATAAGATAATCCTTATGAATTAACTGGTGATAACCCGTCACTTCGGACACATTGACCGTCTGTAACGAAAGATATTTTTAACTGACTTCAAACGGAAGCGTGAAATCGAATAAAAATATATTCGATAACAGAAAAAAAAAAATTAAAAAAAGAATTGTATGAGACCAAGACTATCACCTATAGACTATAGACTTGTATCATTCAACTGAGAAATAATCTGTAAAAAAAGTCTGGGCTTTATTAAAAATGTAAAGTTTTAAAATAGACGACCGTCTGCACTAGTGATAGGTGATAATGAACTTTGAACAGTTGGATCATGACCAATACACCATGAATTAACCAAGACTGTCTCCAGCGGGACTGCGTAGAGGTCGTCCCTTCCCCAAACCACCTATTCGTAAGCTAGGGGGAAAGGGATTGTTAGGAATGGGATTAAACTGGCCCACTGAACTTTGGAGGGGAAGGGATTGTTACTAATGCGTACTACCAGTTCCATTGCTAGCAATATACCCTATCAGGTCGACCTACACATGGTTCCCCCTGGTAACCATCATGCTGAATTCCAGATGTATTCATCACGATGGGCTAACTGACCTGCTTTTTCATTCTCATCTATCATCCCTCATTGGTGCCCCGCCAGCGTAGACCGTCAGCACGTCGGGGTTACCATTCCATATCATCCATTTAATAATACTCGTAAGCCAAGTTACGCTAAAAATCCGGATATAGTTTCGTTACATACAATTATCTAAAGAATCATAAATTTCTACTCGTCAACAGACAATAGCTGGTTCAAAATAAAATATTCCCAGATTCAGTTACTTATAACATAAACATTATTTATAAATAGAACTGTGTGCCATAATGTCGACCAGAAATACATTGAAGCGTATGAAAAAGTAAGTTTACAATAATTTATAAGAAGCATGAAAGTAAGATAAATGCTGTAGAGATGAGATGAGAGCTTTGAGAAGTATGTGTGATAATTCATTAAAAGATAGAATAAGAAACAGTGTGATTAGAGAGAAGTGTGGTCTGAAAGACGATGTAGTGACAAAACTCGAAAAGGGAATGTTGCGTTAGTTTGGCCATTTGGAGAGGATGGATGAAAGAATAATTACGAAAGAGATTTATCGAGCAAGAATGAATGGAGATGTCGGTAGGGGCCGCCCTAGACGGACGCATGTCGACCAAATAGGCGACGTGCTGAAGAAAGGCCAAATTAAAAGTACCCGTAACCGGCGAGCGTATATGAAAAGATTGATGAATGTGGAAGAATCGAAAGAGATTTATTTGAATCGAAGCATTTAGCGTTCCATAGTTTCTGCCTATCCTAACGGGAGACAGGCGTGACAGATATGTATGTATGTATGTAGTAATTTATCGTAGATAGGCATGTCTGATTACAAAGCGAGATTATCTGACAAAGTCTGGTATTAACTATTTTATGGTTTATGATCCATTTTTATCCATGAAAACTGTTTTTATCTAATGTACTAATGATCTGGATTTTTCTGACAAATTGGTTTGTTTGATTATGGAATGATGCGATCATTATCACGGATTCTAATGGTTAACTCAGGATTTTAAAACACTTTGGATTCATTTGAAAATGAATTATGAGAAATCGGTCCACGATTGGCGCAGATATCGCATAACGAAATTTGTTACAGAAAAAATCCCCGACTTCAATTGTGGCGGAATCAGTTATTTTAAAAACTAAATTACTGAACCTATATTGATAAAGTTTCTATGAGACCAATTCGAAAGTATATCCTTTTGAATAAAACAATTTTTTTTTAATTGGTTTACAAATGACGTAGTTAGGAGGTAAAAAATATAACCAAATTGAAAGCTTCCTTCTTTTTGAAATCGGCTGAAAACAACGTAAAATGGCGCTTGTCATTTGAAACTTTACAAATATAAATAAATAAATAGATATAACGGATATTACAGCTTAATAGATATTATACTTAAATTAGCCATTAACTGCCCACTGTTGAAGATAGGCCTTCTCTAAAAAAGGGGGTTTTTCCCGTAGTCTACCTACTAGTAATAGTCTATCTACCAGAGGGATACTTTGTACAAAAGTCGTTTGCTTGAACACCTCTGTCCCTATCGTGTTTTTATCGTGAAGCAGTTGTGTTTGCATGGCTGTGTTTCGGTTTGAAAGGTGGGATATGGCAGTGAATTTAAAGGGTATAGAGTCATCAACACCCGAGTCCTCAGGAATGACAACGCATGGGGAGAATCATGGGCGAAACAGTATACTCTATTATGTCCATGATACTGCCCATGTCTATAAGCGACGGTTACCACTTTCCATCAGGTGGGCCGTCAGTTTGTTTACCATTCTAAGTTGCATAAAAAAAAGTTGCCACGTTTGGCAGGCAAGTTGGCAATGGCGGTTAGATATTATAATATATATGTATATTATAATGCATACTAAATATTTTTACAAATACTTATAACAGTCTTTATATTCCGTGATGAATCACGTGAAGGTTGAACCTTGGTCGCAAAAGGTATCTCCTAAGTACGACACATTATGTAGTGACTTGAATTACTAAGTGAGCTATGGCCATAATTTTGGTCACTTTCAATGGTCAATTCAGAATACACAGTAGGAATAGAGACGCCTACAGTGGTGTAACGGTTTGTCACATCGCCTTATTTTCCGAAGGTCGCGCGTTCGATTCCCGCACAATACAAACATTAGTATTCATAATTACGTCTCTTTGTATTTTCTGGGTGTATTACTAAATATAATATGGGTGATTTTCAGCAAATACATTTTCTGTTTAATTTTGGTAAACATTTTTGGTATTGAGTCTTTAGATAAGATTGGCCTTGAATGTATTTTATAAAACAATTCCTTCTATACTTCAGGAAATTTGGTATTTTTTTGGGGTCTTTTTTTTTATACAACTTCGAATGGCAAATAAACTGATGGCCCACCTGATGGAAAGTGGTAAGCATCGCCTATAGACACGAGCAATACCATGGACATAACAGAGTATACTGTTTCGCCCATGATACCCCCCATGTGTTGCCATTCCTGAGGACTCGGGTGTTATTCCTCTGTGCCCTGTAAATTCACGCCATATCCCACCCTTCAAACACAGCCATGCAAACACAACTGCTTTACGGTTGAAACACGAATGGGACAGAGGTACCCAAGCAAACGACTTTTGTACAGTCTCCCTCTGGTAAATAAACTGGTCTAAAAGTAGAAAGTACAGTTGAAAGATCCACCAAAATTTTACAGGATTCACACTTGCTGTAAATATTTAATAAAAGGTACTGAATATTGCTGTATTTCAATTGTAAGACGCAAAAGCAGAAGAATTTTAAAATTTTTGTAAATTAAAATTAATATTTTTTTTAAAGAACTAACAAAAATTATGAAACTAAGATTCACACAACAATGCACTGAGCATTGAGGATATTAGCTCATTGCAATTACAAACATTTGAGTGGCTAGCCCATTTATTTAATTTATTGAAATGTCAATGACATTGCTTTAGAATAATTTTTAATAAAAAATGGGCTTTGATTTAGTGTCAACTAGGTATCCATTAATCATAAATTGAAAACCATATTTTAATCTTTTAAAACATTATTTTATATGTTGAATTTCATTTACCAATATCTTCTTCTATTTGAATCTTTAGTTAAAATTGTTATTTCATCATGATTAAGAAGACAATTAGCATTTTATTAAGAAATTTAACAATATTTTTTATATTGGAATATAATTTTTTTTTTTTGTGTTTTATATCTCAATATTTAATAATACTATGTTGTACATTGAGAAGTACATATTATATACAAAGTCAGTAATATACAAATATATAATAAATTTGTGATTAACAATATTGTAATTATAATACAAACTTATTTTGTTTTTATTGCATATAATAAAATAGATGTGTTTTTACTGTGATTACATACCATTATAAAACCAACACAAACATAGACTGTACACATTTTTACACTGTATCAAGTACCAACAAAAAAGTAACTACACAGAAATAAATAAATGTGCACAATAGGAATAAAGTGCACTTAACTGAAGATGTGCTAACTACAATAACGAATAGGTCTTACTAAGTTACGATTATCGTAGGGCTCCTCCTGGGAGACAATTGGGGAGTCAATGAGAGGATCTCTGTCCCCTGTGTCCCTGGGGCGGCTCTCCGACACCCTCCGTTCAGTACGAATTCGGCATGCGTCACATCTCTTCATTTCTATACATACTTCTCAACTGTGGACTGTGAATACATTCTAATGTAAACACATTATATCCACTCGATTATTTTATTAATATTACACATTTGTTTTGTTTCAATCATTGAAATAAAAAAAAAACTGCCTACCCACTTTATTGGTCTAATTGATAATATACCTCACAGTCCAAAAAATGCTGTTCCATTGCAGGAATAAATTAAAAACGTTTATCTAACGAACAAAAAACGTCTAGTCATATAAAAAAAAACTACACTCATCAATGGCAATGGGATGATCTCGACTAAGAAATGACAAATCATACTATTGGATTATCAACAAATCAATCATCATTGTATGCAAATGAAATTGTTAAACATTACCAAAAATAATGGCGCGAAGAATTCAATTACAGCACGCGCATTCTAAGAGACCATATGATCTAAAATGCTTAAATTACAGAACAGTACATAATAGTTTTTATCTCTACTTACTACTAATATCTGCCTTCTGTGTTATGTGATTGTATTCCATAGAAATTACGACTCCTTTCAGATTATCAGCTTCATCATCTTAATATCATTGATGAAGCCTTTATTTTATAAAACTATATTAAATCCAAAAGAAATAGAAAGCGCTAATTAATATTAAAATACGAAAAATGAACACAATAAACCTAAACGTGCTTTGATTACTTTTGACAAATCTGACATTTGGTTGGTAATTTGCCAATTGCCATAGTGCAACACATACCTAGATTATTAGATGCTGCAACACAAATTATTTGAAACTAGTAATGACAGATTTAGTCTCGTACATGACGAGTACTGCGTGAGAGTCCATTTACAAGTAGGTAAATTAACAAATGTGTTAAGTTAATTCTCTTAGTTTGTTGGCAACACTGTTTCTACACTTCAACACGTCATCTGTATGTTATGCTGTCATAGTCACTGTTTTATCGTAATAGTATTAATTTTAATGATATTTATTATTAGTAACGTGAATTCAATATGGTAAATATAAATTTATAACAAAAGCTCATGTTTCTTTTAATTTCTATACTACTTATTAATTTGTGTTAACAGAAAAATGTGTTTGCGTCCGGTCTATGTTTACAATTTTGTTCATATTGAAATATAATTTCAGGTGCTCATAGCAGCTACAGTATGCACAAAATCCGGGAAAGGTAAAGTCCTACACGTTCTAATTAATATATAGTTATCCAATAAAATAATAAAGTATCGGGGCCGATTTAGTCTGACATGAAAATGGGTGTACTCTGTCATTAAAAAATACTGATTATTTAGTCACAGAAACCGTTGTGCATATTGTTACGTGTAGCAATAACTTAACAATAAGTATTATTAATTGATAATTATAATGGTCTTCTTTCAGCTTTAGTCTCACGTCAATTTGTGGAGATGACGAAAGCCCGCATCGAAGGTTTGCTCGCTGCGTTCCCGAAACTAATGACTAGCGGCCGACAGCATACCTTTGTCGAAACAGAATCAGTCAGGTTCGAATATATTATATACAATATAAAATTCATTTCTCTTACCATAATCTAAGTTTATTATTTTCACACTTACAGCTTTGCCTATGTATATAATAATCAAAATACTCTAATGACATGTCAGTCATCATATGGTCGATTTGTGTAGAAAGGTTTCATTAAAATTGTTCAGCAGTCTAACATGATTGGGTAACAAACATGTATTAAAGTTTCACATTTTAATGTTAGTATGATGAAATTTAAAAAATAATTACATATGTTTATAATAACAAATTATTCAATATTTACCACACTGATTACACTGCAGCTTATTATATAAAACGAAACAAATTATTATATACATCCGGCGTATTTATTTCAGATATGTTTATCAACCATTAGACAAATTGTATATGTTGCTAATTACTACAAAAGCCAGCAACATCTTGGAGGATTTGGAGACTCTTCGTTTATTCAGTAGAGTGGTATGTTAAACCTATATACCTATATATGTTGTACTACTGTAACTGTCTTTATGAAATATTGTGAAGAAAAATATTCTATGACAACTAATATCACAATATAGGTAATGGTTGCCACTTTTCGTTAGGTAAGCCATCACCTTTTTATTTTTTGAGACACACAATTGATGACACACATTTTGAGTTGCAAAAAAGAAAAAACTTAGTATACTCCATACAATATAACCATAAAAATAAATGATGGATTCAGGGTTCCCTTACATATTAGTAAAATTAAAGTAAAATTGTTTCTTTTTCTATGAATAGAATTTTTCTTTCAATCCCATATTAAGTATCAATTTATAAAAAAATATTTTATTTAGGTGCCAGAATACTGCACTCAATTGACAGAGGCCGAGATTTTGAACCAGGCTTTTAACCTTCTGTTCGCATTTGATGAGATTGTGGCACTTGGTTATAGGGAGAGTGTCAATTTGGCGCAGGTTTGTGATTTAATATATTTATATTATACATAATTATGTACTAGTCTAAAAAACAAAATTTCAAGTAATATTATATCAATTTATGAATGCATGTACACTTGTGGTTAAGTTATATAATCTCAACTTATTGGTATAAGTGCTTATGTGCTCATAAATTGCCAGAAATACAAAATTAAATATTTATTTGTTACATTTCTTTATTATTAATAATTATTGTTTTTTCGTATCAGCAAAATATTGCTTGGAACTTCATTTTTTTTTGCAGAAAGTAGATTACCAGATTAATCACTTCTTACTGTATTCTATGAACATGTTTTTACTTTAGGATTGTCGATTGTAACATATATTTCATCTGATCCAACTTGAAGAAACTTTTTCACACTTTGATTTTGAAAAACAAGTAGAAAAAGTATGTTTGACGTTAGAAGATATATTTCATTATTATCATAACCTAACCACAGAATATATTTGTTTGTTAACTTTTTATAATTATTTTTAGGTTCGCTCATTTGTTGAAATGGATTCTCATGAGGAGAAGATTTATCAAGCAGTTAGACAGGTATATTTTTTATTTCATTTTAAACAATACAAGAGTATCTCTGCTCTTTCTAAAGGTTAATTGGTTGAATGTTAGGCCAATACGTTTAAATAAATAAATTAACTACATTAAAATGTCACAACTCAGTAATAATTGCCATATCAAACTGAAGCATGGCATGCAAATAAGTTTTGTGACAAAATTTATTGGTAAAACAGTGACAGTGACGCTGAAAATTTTAATCCCCTTGTATGAATGGTTTTATTTATAATATACTAGTTTTTACTCGCAACTTCATCTGCGTGACTGAGATAAAAAGTTGTTTATATTCTTATTGGTCGATATATACCATATTAATAATAAAAACACTTTTACATTTATATAAACAACGTAACTATTGAACTTATTTTAAAATATTACGTGAAATAATAATAATAATAGGTTTTTTAAAGAACAAAATATTAATAAGGTATATTATATATTATATTTTCTACATTATAGACACAAGAACGCGAAGCGGCTAACCGTATGCGAGAACGCGCCAAAGAGTTACAGAGGGAGAGATTAGAAGCGGCCAAGCGGGGACAACCGCCGCGCTCCCAAATGTCTTTCGGTAAGAAATTATTCCAATGACTGGAATAAAAAGTAGCCTATTTCCATTTTCTTTAATATCTTAATATATATCTCAAATTTAGGGTTCCACAAAAAAATACCAACTTCCATGGTGGCCAAACCAGTTATTTTTATTAAAAAACTCATTATTATTACTTAACTTACTTATTTTTCGATCTGAGAGTATATTCTTTCAGATGAAATCTGTTTAAAATGATGAAGTTCTGAGAAAACAGATATAAAAATGTACCTACAAACCAATAGAGAACCCCCTTCTCTTTTTGAAGTAGTTTAAAATATCTGACTCACGATATTTGGTCAAGCTAATATTCGAAACTGCCCAAGCGATTTTAATGAAATTTCATAAATGTGTATTTTCTGCTCCAACTTGAAGTGTAGAATAGTTTTGAAACAAGAAAAAATGAATCCTATAGGTGGCAGTGAGGGGCAAAACAAGCATTGCTAGATCAGCTGGTAATATAAAAAAAAAATTAGTACGGCGAGTTGCCGGCCCACTTGATGGAAAGTATTAACTGTCACCTATAGACATAACCAGTACCATGGACATAACAAAGTATATTGTATCACCCATGTACCCTTCACGTGTTTCCATTCCTGAGGACTAAGGTGTTATGCCACTGTAATCTGTAATTTCATTCTTCATGTCAAATTTGTATGTGAAATCTTATGACGATTAATTTCATTCAGACATTAAAAGCCAACATACAAACAGAATTTTGCATTTGAAATTGAAAATATTTGACCTGTTTCTATAACAGACTAGTATTGAAAATACGTGGTGGCAATAAGACACATACTTTATTACTATTTGATTTGCTTTTTAAATTGTATACATTATATCTATACACATATATTCCAATTTTTTTTTGTTGTTGAATATTAACTCTCGTGAGTCATACTATATTGAATTTATGTCAATTAATGTTTTTTTTTCTTTATACAACTTAGAATGGCAAACAAGCTAACGGCCCACCTGATGGAAAGTGGTAACCGTCGCCTATAGACATGAGCAGTACCATGGACATAACAGAGTATACTGTTTCGCCCATAATACCCCCCATGCGTTGCCATTCCTAAGAACTCAGGTGTTATTCCTCTGTACCTAGTAAATTCACGCCATATCCCACCCTTCAAACCGAACACACACCCATGTAAACACAACTGCTTCACGGTTGAAAGACGAATGGTACAGAGGTACCCAAGCAATCGACTTTTGTACAAAGTCTCCCTCTGTAATTGTTTATATTTATAATATATTTACTATTGTAATCTTTTGGAGGAAACAATAAAGAGTATCTATCTATCTATAATTTTTTTTCTCTAGGAAGTGGATTCGGCAGTTCGTCAGTATCCTCAGCGTCCGTGGAGCCGATTGCAGAGAAATTACCAACAACTCCTGCACGAGAAACGTAAGTTTCAATTACTTAATCCTAATTCGACAGTATTGTATCGTATGTGAAAAAATAATACCACATTTATTTGCTATATTTTTGGTATCAAATATTAGTATTTTTTTTAATAATTGTTATTTTGAGGCTTTTTTTATCCTATAAGGACATGTCAGCCCCATCAAGCTTAATCTTAATTAGTGATTTTACATACTAAAATAAAGGGAATCATTGATACAAAAACACAACAATGAAAGATTTTGTTGTTTCGGAATGTGGATCTGCGAGTATACTTAAAAATAATGTAATATCTTGTCTATTTAAATTATATTTCTGTGTCAAAGCTTCTTTTTCACGTTAATTTTTTTTTTACATTCATTAATCGAATCATCCAATGTGTTACAAATATTATATTTTTGGGTTATTAATAATTTTCATATACGCGAACTTTGCATTTGGGTAATGCTCTGAGCCTGATCTATGACGTTAGACCTAATAAATTCATCATCTTCCTACCCTTATCCCAATCATTTGGGGTCGGCGTAATATGATTTTATCCATATTACAAAAAGATTTGGTTTTTAGTTTTACGACCGGCCACCTGCCTGACGTCAACTCTCTTTGGGAATTAGACCTTATAAATTATTACTTACAAAATCTTAAACCAAATTCTTAGAAAAAGTTACAATAGTTTTCATTCCACTTTTTGATAATATTATAAAGAAATTAATCTTGAAATTGCATATACAGCCGACCAGTGACGCGTTCAGCCATGAAGCTGGGCTCGCGCGGCACCGATGCAGACTCGTTCGTGTCGCGGCTGCGCTCGGAGGGGGACATCGCGGCGACGCCTGTGGGGCCCGCGGTCACCACCGGCGGTGCCAGCGGCGCCCGATCCGACCAGCCCGCGCTTAACCAGAAGGAGTGAGTAATTATCATTACTTCAGTCATAATTTGACCCGGCAATGGATATTTTTTTTTATTGGATGAAAATGGAATGGTAACCCCGCCTGCGCTAACGGTATACACTGGCAAGGCATCAGTGAATGGTGATCGATGAGAATGAAATCAGGCCAGTTAGCCCATCATGATGAATTCATCTGGAATTAATCATGATAGTTTCCAGGGGGGGACCGCGAGGAGGTCGACCTAGTTGGGTATATTGCTAGCAATGGGATTCTCAGTCTCCATTACTAACAATCCCTTTTCCCCCAATAGATATTATTATTTACTAGCATTTTGCTTAGTGCTTCGTACGCATAGAAAACCGCATCCAATTTAGTGCAGCAGTTTTTGCGTAATGCCGGAACAAATATATAGACAGACGGATAAACGTATTTCTATAAAATTATTGTTTTAACTTCTCTTGATCTATTTAAGACTCCTATCATATTTTTTTTAATTATCTCCCATGCAAATGTACAGATCATGTAGTAATAATTTTATTATTATAAGATCATAGAAAATACTTGTGATAAATGAGAAAAAACAGTGTAAAATAATTAATGTATTAAGAAAAAACTCCCAATATATATGTGCAACTTAAAATGGCAAACAAGCTGACGGCCCACCTGATGGAAAGTGGTAACCGTCGCCTATAGACATGAGCAGTACCGTGGACATAACAGAGTATACTGTTTCGCCCATGATACCCCCCATGCGTTGCAATTCCTGAGGTCTCAGGTGTTATTACATGACAATATTCGAATATAATCGTTACAGTGTGCACCTTCGATTCGAAGAACGCCTCAATTTGATCGCGGGCCGTGACGGAGACATACAAAGCTTTGAATTATCAGGTAAACTATATACCTTGTAAATTTGCAATTTATTTCTATATATTTGTTTTTATGCTGTGTGGTCCTGACATAGAATAGGCCATCTCTTCTTTTTCTCTTTCTGTCGTAAGAGGCGACTAAGGGAATTTAATTGTCGAAGGATGGGCAGCAGCATCTCTTTTAAAACATCACCAAACTCTTAACTATATTTGCCAAACCACCTGCCAAGCGTGGCGACTACTGATAAAACCTCCGCTTAGAGGAAGGCCTATGTTTAGTTGAAGACAATGTCTGATATGATGGTGATGATGATGATGATAAATATTTATTTCTAGTATTTATAATTATAATAATTATTTGTGATTATAAATACAGGTGTACTTTTTTTTGATGGGTGAAAATAGTATGGTATAGGCGGGGTGCCTGCGCTAACGGGATACGCTGGCGGAACACCAGTGAATGGTGATAGATGAGAATGTAAACAGGCCAGTTAGTCCATCATGATGAATTCACCAGGAATAAACCATGATAGTTTCCAGGGGGAACCGCGAGGAGATCGACCTGGTTGGGTATATTGCTAGCAATGGGATTCTCAGTCTTCATTACTTACAATCCCTTTTCCCCCAAGTACAGGTGTACTTTTTTTTTAATGGGTGATAATGGAATGGTTACCCCACCCGCGCTATCGGTATACACCGATGGGGCGATAGGTGAGGATGAAGCAGGTCTGTTAGCCCATCGAGACGAATTCAACAAGAATTGTTCACGATGATTTCCAGGGGGAACCACGTGGAGGTCAACCTAATAGGGCATATTGCTAGCAATGGGGCTGTGAAAATCCATTGCTAACAATCCCTTTCCCCCAAGTACAGGTGTACTAGTTTGACGATTGGATGATGAGTATAATTGTGTTTAAATCTAACTCCCTGCGGTCGTGTGCAACTGCACCTTGCACCATAGAGTAAAGTGACCTCTGACTAAGACGTTCATAGTTAAACAATTTGGTTTTTTTTTATACAACTTAGAATGGCAAATAAGCTGACGGTCCACCTGATAGAAAATGGTAACCGTCGCCTATAGACATGAGCAGTACCATGGACATAACAGAGTATACTGTTTCGCCCATGATACCCCCCCATGCGTTGCCATTCCTGAGGACTCAAGTGTTATTCCTCTGTACCCAGTAAATTCATGCCATATCCCACCCTTCAAACCGAAAAACAGCCATGCAAACACAGCTGCTTCACGGTTGAAACACGAATGGGACAGAGGTACCCAAGCAATCGACTTTTGTACAAAGTCTCCCTCTGGTAATTGGTCTGAATGCTTTAAACTTTAAGTTTTCTGAGTGATCACTATAAAACTAAAGAATGCTCACAGGGAAAGAAACATGCCACTAGTTGTGTCTATGATGCTGACGACTTATTGACGATGATGATGATGAGTTATTATAAATATAATGGAATTATAATTGTTGGCAGGCTTACTGACGCTGCGTATAAGCAATGAACAGTTTGGGCGCATACACGTGCACGTCGACAATAAGGACACCAGGTCTTTGCAGTTACAGGTCGGCTTTTTAACATTTTTTTATAATTACGTTACGCGATTACAACATTAATTCATTAAAAGATTGTTACAATTCTTTTTGCAATCAATGGGGTTTTACTTTCACTTTATATATTATTATTATTATCTGTGTATTATAACACTAATTGGTTGCCTTGTATTTGTGTAGTCCATGGAGATGGGGCACTGTTGACTTGTTACACAGGTTCTTCTAAACCTACCGCATGCACCGGTCTCTCACAAAATTGGTCTTCATATCAAATTGTACCTCAAGTTGTCACTTTATTCTACCTATTGTGAAGAGAAAAATAAACCATTCATTCATTCATTCACTTTGCGTAGCAAAAAACTGCTGCTAAATTAACTACGTTCTAAATTTAAATATTTTCAATTCTTGTTGATACATGCATGCACATTCACAATAGATGTCACCTTTTTGTGTTGAGTAAAATGTATTATTAATGAATGAATGAAAAATGTTGTTCTTTTCAAAGAAAGATATGATTACAAAAAAAAAAGTATGTACGGGAATCAGAATTAGAAGAAACGAGGTAAAGAAAGAGGTAATAATGGACGGTCTTATAGCTAAGTAGCGATCTCTTTCAGGCAACAGGTATCTTACTAATATAATTAAACTGTAATTTATTGTATGTATTTTCTACATTATTTTTACTTAAATATCTCCCATAAAGAAAATGTTACATAATTTTTTCTTAAATGTCTCCCATGCACAGACCTCTGGAGGTTTTATTGAAGTGATGGAAGCCAAAATGTTTGTTCCGACAAAACTAAATTAAATGTGGTTTTCACAATAGTTTTCTTGAATTAAAAACTGGTGTATGTTTTATTTTGATACACCCATCTAGAAATATTTATATTTATTTATTTCTCACTCCAAACAATTAAGTAACTTACTACCTATAACATACAGAACATTTTATCAATATTATTCGTGGGAGCTGGTGACTGTTCTAAGTGTTAAACCTGTATCACAAATCATCAGATATGGCTACTTACCTCCAAAATCCGTAAGAGGTTGCGGGCAAAAGTAATTTAATTTGTTATATTTTTTTTTTGAGACTGGGCGTGTGGGGAGCGGCAGCAAAATCTTTTATAAGAGAGTTGAGTCTGCGCATTGCGGTTAGGGGATATGATCGCCGTTCTGGTTCGTATCTGGCTCAAAGGATATCTCTGGCAATCCAACGCGGAAATGCCGCAAGTGTCATGGGGACCTTTGGGTCGGGTACGACCCTTTGATCATGAATTTAATTTTTTTTTTGTGATTAAAACATTATTACTACAGGTAATATGTGATTGTAATTAAATTAATGAATAAATAAATTACTGTAAAGATAGAAATAATTTCGATTCAAAGACATTAAATAAGTAACACATTTGTCATAATTTTAGTTTTGATGATTATATATGTATATTTTGTATACAGACCCACCCGAACGTGGATAAGGAGTCGTTCAGGTCCCAGGGCGTGATCGGGCTGAAGCAGGCGCAGCGGCCGTTCCCGCTGCACAGCGACGTCGGGGTGCTCAAGTGGCGGCTCACGGGCGCCAACGACGACAAGCTCGCGCCGCTGTCCGGTAACTGGAGTTCACTTGACATGATGACGTTGATGATATTGTTTGCTAAAGGAAGGATCCTTTTAAGGGAGAATAGAAATAATCTTTATTTGAATAGCGTCTTCTACCGCTTGTACAACGGATTATGCTCAAAGGAATTATTCAATATGATGCCTGCGGCCACTTTCTATCATCGTACGGCTCGCCATCGACAGGGAGTTCACCCTCATACCTTACAACCTAAATGGTCGCGTACAACGCGGTTTCAGATGTTTTCTCCCACGAACACTCAGGTTATGGAATGCCGAAGTTTTCCCAAGAGACTACAGCATGGGGTTCTTCAAAAGGGGGGTAAAGACGTTTCTTCAGGGTTGGCAACGCGCGCGTAATGCCTCTGGTATTGCAGGCGTTCATAGGCTACGGTAACCGCTTACCATCAGGTGGGCCGTATGCTTGTTTGCCACCTCAGTGGTATAAAAAAAAGACTTGTTTAAAAAGTCTTTTAAATTGTCAGTTTTTTAAGATTCTACTGCAGGATTTGGAATATTGTAATCTATTGAGAAGAAACCGCTAGAAACTAAACAGTTATTCTTTTCAAATTTTTATGTACAAGATAATTTAACATTTTTTGTATGGGTACTGTGACTATAGTTAGCATTGAGTTCTATTTATATATATTATTGAATGAAAAATAAACAAGCAAACATGAGTAGACCGGTTCACACAAGCAGCACCCGTTCACAAGTATGAAGAATGAGCTTAACCATATTTTAGGGAACTTAACGACTCGGTCCACTACATCGCTACTAATCAGGACGTTATAGTAAGCATGACTAGCTTCAAGTTACTTGAATACATCATAAAATATACAACATGCTTTCCCACTGTATTGGATTGGCTGAAAGATATCTCTTTCAGAGATAAGTCCACCCTTGCTTACAATATTTATAAATGTATTTATCTGTATAATTTACAAGTGCAATAAAAATATTATATATATATATATATATATATATATATATATATATATATATATATATATATATATATATATATATATATATATCCACAGAAATGGCAACACTTCAGGAGCACCATGAGCGACAGAATGTTCTATGATGTTCTATAGGCGATAGTTACCACTTTCCATCAGATGAACCGTCAGCTTATCTGTACTGTACAGTCTCAATTGTATGAACAATGTGATCGCAGTGAACTGCTGGCCTTCCGAGGGCGCCAACGGCAGCTGCGACGTAAACATCGAGTACGAGCTGGAGCAAGACCACCTCACGCTCACAGACGTCAACATCAACATACCGCTACCGTGAGTACCGCATATCATTGTCATCATCATCTCAGCCATTTTCTCGTCATAGTCGTAGAATACTGACGGATCTTTATATGTAATCTTTGTCAGATCCGTCAGTATTCTACGACTATGACGATCTGCTGCACTGCTGAACGTAGGCCTCTACGATTGACTACCATAAGGAACGGTCCTGAGTCACCTGCATTCACTGACTACCTGCAATGCATTTGAGGTCGTCACTCCATCTAGTGGAGGTCATCCTACACTGCGTTTGCCCGTACGAGGCCGCCGCTCGAGAACCTCTCCTCTGTGCCACACGCTTTAGCTATACTCAGTAGGTGCATAATTAAGGCTGGATTCCCACTGCAGCATTGGGGTAGGCATGGAATTAAATGTGCCTATGATTATTTAAAAAGTGCTCTACTAGCGAACTTTGAAAAATTGTTTCAAATTATTTGTCGGTATGTGTACAACTTCAAAACTACAAAACATTATATTGAATTTGTTTTTTTTTTTACACTTAACAAGACTTTAAAACTTTTATATTGATTTTTTTTAATTTAGTTCTGGCAACACACAAGTCGTGGTGCACCAGTGGGAAGGTAGCTACACACAAAAGGGCCGCTCCCTCATATGGAGCATTCCAGTCGTGAATGCTCAGCAGAAAACCGGCAGTCTGGAGTTTACGTGAGTAACTACATCCTCATCATTGCATTTTTGGCCATATAGCAACATTTAGGCACTTAATGTTATTTAAATTGAAGCTGTTTAGCAACTTTTTGAAATTATATAAATTTTTCAGTTTCACTGACTTGGTATCACAATTAGGATGTGAGTCTATCTCCAAATTAGAAATGTATGAAAGGACTGCAGGTCCTATGATCGAATTTCAGCCTAAATCTCTAATTTTTAAATTCATGTATGGCTCGGGGGGCACTTAAAGCTGTCATGTGGTAACTTACATCACTGGTCTTCATATATACCATATTATAACAAAGGTAGCCTCAAAGTTGACACCAGAGGGCGCTACTCACATAAGTATTAATATTTTAAACACTGAATATTAATAAATATACTATTGATTTTACAGCGTGACTCCAGCTATTCCCAATGACTTCTTCCCTCTAACGGTGACTTGGACATCGGATACCTCACTGGCTCTCCTGACGGCCACGAAGGTGACACAAGCGGAAGACGGTTCCCCTGTCGACTACTCACAAGAGATCAGCTTCCACCCCGACAAATATGAAATTGTTTAATTTTTTTTTTTAATTTCTAATTCATCAGTTTGAGCCATGGTCTTTGTACACATTCCTTTAAAAAGAAAAGTGAAATGTTTTAATGAATAATATTCCTACCTGCATTCTTGACAGATTCTTGATGATTATATGAAAGTAAAAAAAAAAAAAACATTTTATTACCTTTTAAATAGTCGAGCTCTTAAGTCTAAGGCGAGACTTTGCCTCCCTTCGTGTTTTCTACCACTTGTGTAACGGATTATTTTCTAAGAAATTGTTTAAAATGATGCCTACAGCCATCTTTTATAATCGCACTGCTCGCTATCGATAGGGAATTCATCCTCACGTACAGTGCGGTTTCAAAGAAATTTTCTTGTACGAACACTCAGGCTGTGGAATGAGCTCCCTGCAAAAGTTTTCTCTAGAGATTACAGTATGGGGTACTTCAAAAAGGGTATTAAGGTTTCTACAGGATCCCCTAGTGTTGCAGGCGTCGATAGGGCTACAGTGACCTCTACCATCAGATATTCTGTATGCTTGTTTGCCACCTTTGTAGTATAAAAAAAAACAAACGATTCAATTAAAAATAATTATATTATTTGTTAATACATTCTATACATAAAGAAATTGGAATAAAAATTACTTCATATAATGTTTTGTCTAAAAAGTATTTTGTTTGAATTAGAAGCCACTTAACATTTTATAGGATTTATTTATACAATATATTCTGTATTATTATAATATCATTATTAAAAAATTGTTTTGGCTATAATTTGTATTGCGGAAAATATGTCTATGGCGTAAGTAGGTATATAGCTATATATAATATAAAAAAATATTGTAACAATAAAAATTCTAATAAAACTACTTGTTTCATTTCATAAAAGTATGTTGACGCTGTTATGGTTCATTTTATGGATTTTCGAAATGTATTCGAGTGTAAAATGTGATGACCATTATTATAAACTATATCAAACTAATTCACCTAGCAAAAGTAGTTTGAATGAAACTTGTAAGTGCTATTCAAATTTTTTTCATGTTTATGAAAACAGGGTTTTTTTTTTATTTTATTTTTTATATAACTTATTGAAGGGTGGGATATGGCGTGAATTTACTGGGTACGGAGGAATAACACCTGAGTCCTCAGGAATGGCAACGCATGGGGGGTATCATGGGTGAAACAGTATACTATGTTATGTCCATGGTACTGCTCATGTCTATAGGTGACGGTTACCACTTTTTATCAGGTGGGCCGTCAGCTTCTTTTCCATTCTAAGTTGAATAAAAATAAAAATAAAAACTATTTTTCCAAGTTGAAACATTATTAATAAAATACCATTCTAAGTTGTATAAAAAAAAAACCATTTTAGTCTTCTCGTCACTGGAGAGTTACCAGGTAGACGCTCAACCAGTGTCTGAACTGCAATACCCGTGGATCGCGAGGGTGATCCACTCTCGGAGTGAGCTCAAGCCGCACATGTGCACGGCTGTCTGCGTCGAAGAGAGGATATTTATTACCGCCGCTAGATGCATTTATAGGTGCATTTTATAATTCTAGGTTTTTGAAGTAGGAAACCAATGAGATAAGATCACTTCTAGATGGTGTATTGAGATAAAACACACCACTTTAAAAACATAACAGTGAAATCCGCATTCAAATTCGTGGAGTGGTGTTTGTGTGATGCCGGAACAAACATACAGACAGACAAAATTTTCGAAAATTGTTTGGCCTTATTGCTCTTATAAACTCCCGATATCAAATTTTCTCAAATATTTCTGTCTATAATATATTATATTATGTCTAGTTACAATTTTAGTTACCAGTGAGGGTTGACAGGTGAAGATGTAAGGCAGGTCAGTTAGCCCATCGTGACGAATTTCACTAGAATTAACCACGACGGTTTACAGGCGGAACCGCGTGGAGGTCGACCTGATAGGGTATATTGCTAGCAATAGAGCTGTCAAATTCCATTGCTATCAATCCCTTTTTCCCCCAAAGGATATGGTCAGGTCAGTTGGTCCACCGTGGCGTAATGTTTTCACTAGGAATTAAGTAAAGCCTGATGATTACGAGTGGGACTGCGTTAATAGAGGTGCTATGATCCAGGGCTGTCCAAACCAATTAACATCCCATTTTTAAGGAAAAATAAATAATATTCTTTTTAAATAACCTTGTAAAGGAAAATTTTCTTATTTGTTATAAACATATTAACAACACAAACACAAAAGGCCGGCAGCACACCTGCAATGCTACTAGTGTTGTGAGTGATCATGGGCGGCGGTAGTCACTTACCATCAGGTGAGCCGCATGCTCGTTTACCAGCTGTCAACCAGAGGGAGACTTTGTACAAAAGTCGATTGCTTGGGTACCTCTGTCCCATTCGTGTTTCAAACGTAAAGCAGTTGTGTTTGCATGGCTGTGTTTCGGTTTGAAGGGTGGGATATGGCGTGAATTTACTGGGTACGGAGGAATAACATCTGAGTCCTCAGGAATGGCAACGCATGGGGGGTATCATAGGCGAAACAGTATACTCTGTTATGTCCATGGTACTGCTCATATCTATAGGCGACAGTTACCACTTTCCATCAGGTGGGCTGTCAGCTTGTTTGCCATTCTAAGTTGTATAAAAAAAAAAATTTACCGCAAGTGGGTGTGAACAACTCTGCTATAGTTAATACGGGCATAAATACAAAAATAAAACTGTTATAGTTTAAAAGTGAACCACACAACCCTAGTATATCAGCAGCAACGACTGCCAGCCCTGACATTCGTGATACCGTCGGAGGCAAGCAAACAAGCATTCGACGATATCGGATTCGTCGTTGTTGAAGGAGATTTTAGAGGGCCATGGAAGTTCATAAAGCTTTTCGACGGTGTGAACCGAACGGATGACAATTTCGAATGGTTCGAAAATCTGGATTTATCTGGATTGGACTATAAAGTTATTGGATATGCAACACAAAAGGTAATTAAATATTAAAGAATGCAAACTTACAGAGGGGGAGACATTGTAAGTATCGAGGATTGGCGGCCTAATTTCTAACAATATACCTTCTCGGGGGGAAAGGGATTGTTAGTAATGGAGACTAAGAATCTCATTGCTAGCAATATACCCAACCAGGTCGACCTCCTCGCGATTCCCCCTGGAAACTATCATGATTAATTCCAGATGAATTCATCATGATTGGCTAACTGGCCTGTTTTCATCCTCATCGATCATCCTTCACTGGTGCCCCGTCAGCGTATCCCGTTAGCGCAAACGGGGTTACTATTCCATTTTCATCCAATTACAAAAAAAAACACCTCGAGTCGACCCTCACAAGGTGTACCTTTCATTGTGATTGGGTGAAAATGGCATGGTATCCCCGCTTACGATATCGGTATAAACTGGCGGGGTACAACTGAGAGGTAATAGATGAGGATGAAAACTCAGGTCAGTTAGCCCATTGTGACGAAATCAACGATAAATTAATCACGATATTTTCCATGGGGAACCGCGTGGAAGTCTACCTGAAAGGGTATAATGATAGCAATGGGGACTAACTTCCCCATTACTAACAATCTCTTCCCCCCTTTCATAGTCGTTAACGAGCTGGGAATACGTTTCAATGGTCCGACTGGCCTGAGTTCGTCCATTCTTATCACCCTGCACTGACACGCCAGTGACATACCAATAGTGTAGGCAGAGTTGCCATTCCATTTTTATCCCGTAATGAACAAGCCTACTGATAACTTGTTAATAATAATAATCAATAGAAATAAATTCGTATTTAGAAACAACACATGCTTTGCTGAATCGGGCGTCTGTACTTTTGTCTGTGTTTTTAGGGGTAAAAATGGTATGGTAACCCCGCCTGCGCTAACGGGATACGCTGGCGGAGCACCAGTGAAGGGTGATGGATGAGAATGAAAACAGGCCAGTTAGCCCATCATGATGAATTCATCAGGAATTAACCATGATAGTTTTCAGGGAGAACCGCGAGGAGGCCGACCTGGTTGGCTATATTGCTAGCAATGGGATTCTCAGTCTCCATTACTAACAATCCCTTTCCGCCCGGGCGTCTGTACTTAAAGCGAGACATAAATCGTAGAAGAAATAAATATCTTATACTCTTGTGATAACATTTTTTTTTAATGGATAATAATAGAATTGTAATGCCGACTGCGCTATCGGTATATGCTTGCGGGGCACCAGTGAGCGATGATAGGTGAAGATGAAAGCAGGTCATTGAGCCCATCGTGAAGAATTCCATAAGAATTAACCACAAGTTTCCAGGAGGAACCGAGTGGAGGTCGACCTGATAGGTACATTGATAGCAATGGGGCTCTCCCCTCCCCCCTTGTGATAACATTATCACGACAAAATTTACGATTAAATAAGCAGTAATGTTAAAAATATAGAATTATCATAGAAGTGAATCAAGATGGCGGGAAATTTGAATTTTTATAAATTCTATTTTTAAGTAACATCAAATATATATATATATATATATATATATATATATATATATATATATATATATATATATATATATATATATATTTCGTAAGAGAAGTTAGGTCATCCATATACCTACAAATATATTTTAAATATACAATCGGGATTGAACGCGATGTAAGTCTTTACAGGTTAATAATACCTAAATACCATGCAAATATTTCCAGGGCATTCACCGAATAAAAGCGGCCGATAGGAAATATGACTTGACCGAGTTAAAAATAACAATAGACCTAAAAATATGCACAACAATCTTAACTTACTACAATCGCGTAAAAGGGTTTCATGTACCGTGCTATCACTCCTGCACCCTTCAGCAGTTCAAGCAAAAAGATAAACAGTGTAAGAAATACCACGGCGTTGAGGGCGGAGCAGTTTTGGATACAAGAACAAACAAATTGTTCGGTATAGCAACTTGGGGTCCTTACTTCTATAAATATGAGTTACCTGTGGGCTTCTCTGTGCCCAATTCAGATAGTTTTTTCAAAGATTACACCTGTGCCAGGCTTATAAGAAATGATAACAGTGTACTGACAATGTCTGGCTATTATCAGAGTATTTGTGGCGATGTTTAAGTTCCTATTATTTTTTATTTGGTGTCCTCAATGTTTATTGCTTTAAATGGTATTCATTGTGGTGAATGAATAAAACATGGATTTATTTGAACAAATTAGTTTTATTTCATAAAACAGTAATTTATAAAAAAAATCTATCCTTACAACTAAGAATCGTTTATATTAAAGTTAAACTTAAATTCAGAATCGGAAAAAGAGAATTTGAAATTATTTGACTTGTCTTCTTTAATTTTGATGGAGTTATCATCTTTATCGTCATCAATGTTTTCCGTAATAGCAACACTACTAGTATCTTCCGTGTTATTATCTTTTACTACAGTGTTGCTATTATTTAAATCGACAGTGGAATCAGCGTTGTCAATTTGTTCTGAAGCTAAATTGAAATTGAATCTAAATGAACTGTTGCCTGTAGTTAAAAATGCAGATTTTCTTAGAAATGTTGCTTTTGGTTTATCTGGTGCCTCAGAAATCTTGATTTTGCTTGCCACTGCAAATAATTTCACAAATTATTCTTCATTCAAACCAGTTTTTTTTTTCGTTTAGAGATATATTTTTTTACTTTTTTTTTTGTTTTATGCATTTTATACACTTACTTTTAACACAGAGGCACCACAATATGAAATATTACCAAATAAAAGGATCTAGAGACCTATTTTGTCATTTCTGTAATAGTTGATTGCGGTTATACATACTCTTTGCCAATTTTTTTTCTTCGGCAGCCATTTTAGCTCTATAATCTCCAAAATGAGTTCGCATTAGTTGTCTTTTCCTTATTATTGGCTGATTATTATTCTTTAATACTGTTAAAACTTTCCATGCTTCTTGCACTGAAATATAAACAGGCAATTAAATATATATTACCACAAAGTAAATCATAAAAAACTTTGAACTGTGAGTTGACTGAATAATTAAATGTAATAGAAAAAAGAGACTAATACACAATAATTTTTGGATAAGGTGCTTGAATATGAAGTAATATGGTCATATTAGTCTTTAACTGTCCACTGCTGAACATAGGTTTCTCCCATAACCGTTTATTAAGGGCTTTTATCATTGTGCATACATAATAAAAAAAAAGCTGGTCAAGTGCGAGTCAGATCCGCACAACAAGGGCCCCATATAAAATCATCAAGTTTAATTTTTTTGTGTGAAGTAACTATAAATGTACCATTTTTGGATTTTTTTTCTTTACTTGTGCGATATAACATTGCTTCTTGCCAAATTTCATGATTCTAGGTTAATAGTAAGTACCTTATAGGTTTTAATTCCCTTTGCAAATGTCAAAAAATGCAATATAAATAGTTCATATCTTTTGATTGCATTAATTTAGAAGCTTGATTAGTTTACTGCTTTAAGAGATTGCAGACCTGAGTATATGATATTAATTTCAGCTCGATACCTCCACACATTCCTAAGAAAAAGGATCTAGGCAGACAGATGGACGGACGGACAATGAAGTGATCCTAATAATCCTATGATAAGGGTTCCGTTTTTTCCTTTGGAGGTAAGGAACCCTAAAAATAAACTAAAATACTTTGTGCAGTCCAATTCACAGCTATGAATTGGAATGCACAAAGTATTTATTCATAATTTATAAGGGTACTTTAATACCGTATAATTGTATATAAGTGTAGGTATATTCATAATAATACTACATAACATACTAAAAATTAATATCAATTTTATAACCTAATTTTATATTTTCTTAAAAAGTAAATGTTGTATATATATAATCGTACTAAACAGAGTAGTACTTTTATATTTCTATTATGACTTACTTTGTTTATCATTTCCTTTTTTATCGGCTAAAGATCGCTCTAACTGCTGAATACACCAACACAGCTCCAACTGAAATTGCCTCATGGATTCGTCAGTGTCTGCAGCTTCTGTTTTATCCCTGTCGACTTTACATGGTTTCTGTATTGAATTAGACTTGCCTTTAACGTGTAATTTTGTAGCTTTAGGCATTTTATTCTATATTATTTAAGTTAAATAAGAAAGCGTCTTGTTTTGAAACTATGAAGCACGACTTTAATGTTGCCAGAGGTTTAATGTTGAAAATTACATTACAATAAAATATTTTTGTTACATGAATTGCGTTTTTATTTTCTCATTAAAAAGAAATAACTTCAATATGGAAAACTCTACGTTGTTAAATGAAAATTAATGCGTATACAATCTTTTTTATTTTTTTACGTGTGAAATTATTTTTACAACATAATTATGAATTCTGTGTTGAAGATTGGAATATACCTTTATATGCTTGAAAAAAAAAGATAATTACTATTGTTACAAAATTAGTTGACGATCTGGCCGAAAGATACAAATAAATATTAAATGTAATTTTGTGGCAATACTGTAGGTTACTGTATACAATAGAATAGATAGATTAGAATACTTATTTAGAGTACGACCACAGATTGCATAATAAAAAATTTCATCGTTTCTATATATTGTTTATAATTTTATCATACGTCATTGTAATACGACGTACCAGAAAAAGAGTAAGCCAAACCCTTGGAATATATTTTGCAGTAGCTGCGTTTTTAAAATTTAATTAATTATTTAGGATATTTTAATTAAATGCTATTCAGTCTAGTGTACTGGACTATCACTTAATAAAGTGTAAACAAGCATTGATATCTGTGATAGACCATAGACAAAAGTTGCGATAGTGGCGACTTCCGAATATGACGTAATATGGCTAAATTTCGTACTAAATAAATAACCTTAAAATATATGTCATTTCAAAATTCTCGAAATAATTCTAGTATAGTATGCCGCTTGGAAAATTTGGAAAAATAACACTTTCGTGGTAATTACAAAAAAATAATTACACAAAATCCCTGTTTATATAGATACCTTGTGTGGTGAGCCCTGCTTAATTCATTTGCCATTATTTTACACACTAGACATTATTCTCAAAAACATGTTTCGCTTAATTGTAAAAATATATAAATTTTATAATAGTTTCCTTGAATTTGTCCTTTTCTATTAGAGTCGAATGTTATTTTCATCTAACATTCGACATTAATTTTATTGAGTGAATTCACATATTTTAACTAATTTAATGAAGTCTAATAATAGGCGTTTAACAGCAGAATATTTTAATTCTTTTTGTTGTCTAGAGCTTAAAGCCGTACCTACATGAATTTTAGTCTATAGAATTGGTTTAGTTAAATTATAAGAATAATAAATATGCTCACAACCATAATTCCAAATAGGGTTGTCAGAGGCATTCTTTGGTTATAATATGGTATCAAAAAATCAAATTACTATCGTTCATATCTCCTTTTCGCTTTATACACCATTATTCAATATAATAATTTTGTGACCACACAAGTATTATTTAGAGATCTCAAACTATAAGTAGTAAATAAGATATTCCAATGGATTTTAATGTTTTTTAAGTAGATATATACATAAATTTTTCAGGTTAGCAATAACAGTAACAAGTTTATCACTGTTTGTATTGTCAAAAAACACCATCAATGAGCAGCGTTTGGAGAATATGAGAGCACGGGAACGCATGCGCAGGTCCAACGAAGGAGAGTACCCTGACTTGTACAGAAAGTTTTGAGTTTGTAAGTTTTACATTAGTTTTTTAAAGTTATATCCATTTATTGCCATATTTATCCTCTGGGAAGTATTAATTAAGGCTTCAGTTAATCTAAGTGACTATAGCAGCTTAATATGAGCAGTCTATATATTTGGTTGGTTTAGAAATAGATGAACACTTTCGTTGTATAAGCATATACCACCGAAGATTTACTATTTAACATTTATACACATATTCCATTTTAAAGGAAAAGAGATAGAGAGTTATTAAAAAAAATTCATAATGTAATCCATTTTTTCAGGTGTTATTGAGAGTTTATTAGAAGTGACTACATAAAGATGGCGATGCCGCAGATGGACCCGGCAAAGTTGCAGCTCGTTCAGGAGCTGGAAATTGAGATGATGTCAGACATGTACAATCGGTTGGTGACTGCGTGCCACAGGAAGTGTATCCCACTGAAGTATCATGAACCTGAATTAGGTAACAATATATATAGGTACTCTTTATTCTTTCCTCCAAAAGCTTACAATAATGAACTTATTACAATTACAAGAAATAATCACGCTAAGAAAATAATGGGCAGTACATACTACTTTTCAAAACCAAAGGGTAAATTTTCATATATATATATATATATATATATATATATATATATATATATATATATATATATATATATATGAGGCCTATAAAATCAAAGGCAGCTAAATGCCATAAAATTAATTTTCTTTTCACTCTGTTATTATTATTATTATTATTTGACGAAAACACAAAGTTACAAATACAAAATACAATGGGCCCCACACTAGGCGAACCTGTATCGTGGGCACCCGAATACTTCACTGTACTCGAATATTTCACTTAATTAAAAGTTCTATTAATTAAAATTCAAATTATTACTAATATTCAAATTTTCTTTAATCTGGTTTAAAATATAGAATATCCTTCCATATCCTTGACAAAATATTAGTTTTATAGTTTCCTGTACATTTGACAGACTTGGATTTAGCTCTTAATGACGTGGGCAGAAATAATGGAACACCAGATGCCTTGTTTCAAACAGATCTTTTAATTTAGTGTTCTTTTGCATATTGGGTATATTCTTTTGTTTATTTGATCGATACATCCATTTAGGGCGGTCCCTACTGACATCTCTAATATCATTCATGCTCAATATTTTTCATAATTCTTCTTTCATCCATCCTCTCCAAATGGCCAAACCAATGCAACTAGCCCTTTTCAGTCTTTTTCATTACATCTTTTAGCTCTCACTTCTTTCTCTAATTACACTACCTACCTACAAAATGTTTAGAATACAAAAATAAAAAACAATAAATAAAAAAAAGAAAAATTAAATTAATTAATTAAAGATAAATTTGAATTGATCAGGAGAGAATGTATATTTAAAACTTTTTAGATTTTCCTTATTGTCTTTGCACTTAATAAACATAATTAAAGGGTGATTAGCGGGAGAGGGATTATTAGTAAAGCAAACTACCAGTCTCATTGCTAGCAATATGCCCTGTCTGGTCGATATCCATATGGTCCCCCCTGGAAACCATCATACTGAATTCTAGGTGTATTTATCACAATGGGCTAATTAAGCTGCTCTTTCATTTTCACTTATCATCTATCACTGATGCCCCGCCGGTGGATACCGATAGTGTAGGCGAGGTTACCATTCTATTATCATCCATTAAAAAAAATTTGGTGATTTAATCCATGACCATATTTCATCTTGCAACAATATAGCACTGGTAACCTTTAGTTCAGACTTGATTAGTTACTTGCATATGATATTGAAAGCAAACTTGATGTGGGCATATCTTAAATGTCTTATACGTTGGCAAAATATTTACCTCTAAAGATATAAAGATAATTTATTTAATTTTTTTTCATCATGATGTACTTGTTTATAAACAGACTGGAGTACAGCAAAAATTATAAAAGAAATTTCTTGTGGTTTTTTCAGGTAAAGGTGAATCAGTCTGCTTAGATAGGTGTGTGGCTAAATATTTGGATGTTCATGAGCGTATTGGCAAGAAATTATCCAACATGTCACAAGGAGAGTCAGAAGATTTAACAAAGGTCAATATACCCGAAAAAAAATAATGGATACCAATATGGCGCAATGCAATGTCAAGTTAGGAAAATAACTTAGTTTTATTTTTTAGCAAATTATGTATAAATTATTTATTTAAATTCAAGGGCCATTTTTGTGGGTAGAGGGGTCATTTCTGAAATATAATTTCTTTAACTTTACCTTTACTCTTTACCTACCTTGAAAGTTCTGTTAATTTTAAAGAGTTTTTAACGTTTTCTTTTTCTATAAAATTTCAGAACTAAGTTGACTCTATTTACGTTTATTTGCCACATTATTTATAGTATGATTACCACACTCGTCAAGGTCATTAATATCACTAAGTATGGTTGACAGATGATTTATAGACACAACAGGAATATAATTTGTTTCTATAGTCATAATTTAGTACAGTTATTGTCCTAACTTGTACGTAGGTAATTGGAATAATAGGCATTTGAATCATTATTCATGTCAATAAACATAAACAATGATTTAAACTTGTACTCAATTAACAAATTTGTATATTAATAATATTCATAATCGTACTTATGACATGCGTCAATGTGTTCCTCCTCGGGTAATTGCATTTTGTTATGGTATGACTGAATATTTAGTTAATTGCATAATTATGTAGTTGGTTATTAGTTCGATAGTTGTTAGCAATAAAATAATTGAAAAACGTTTTATTCCATGTTTTATTTCATGACAAATGCCATTATAAATCTATCTACAAAACATAACTATATAGAACTAATACTAGGTTCCTACTTATTTTTTATATCAGTGGCAACATTAAAATGGCCGAAGCCATAGCCAATCGTGTAGCTTTTTATAAGCTGACCCAATACAAATATATTGGCGCAAAAGAAAACTACACTCTTCAACCATATAAATATGAAAACTTGCCTACATTTAAATTCTAATAAATACGCATAAAACAACCAAGCACCTTGCGCGGAAATCCATATAATGGCCAGAATTAATGCTTTCGCTGGAATTATCTTCAAGTTATGAACAACCAATGGCAAAAGAGACAAAAACCAAACAAAGTATTGTGACGTCATCACACTGTTAAAAGCGACCAACACGACTGCCTGTGAAAATAAAGCAAAGGGAAGCGTCTTAGGATCACAACCGAATGTCAAACTAATTATAAATAAAATTATACACTCGAATGCCTGGGAAACGGTTTTCACAATATCAAACGACAACTGGTCCATTGTTAAGTACGAATAATAGAAAAGCACAGAGAAATTGTGTCTTGTGTCCTTCCTAAATAGATGATAAATGTATGTTTCAAATAAGAATTCATAGCCATACAAAACGTACATACTGTATGTAAGAAAGAATAGAGTTGTTATACAACTGAAAGTGAGAACGATTTGCTGTTTATTTGGCATTAAAGATACGAAACCAGTTTTGATACTAGTTTTGCGACTGATTTTATAGGCACCCAAAGATAAATACATGGGAAAACTGAATGCCAAGGGGTATAACCGCAAATGTATTGAAATGCCCAACAAAATGCCAGATAAAGCAAACTTTAGCAAACCCTTTACGATATCTGTTTGCAAGAATAAAATTGATAGTATTATAAAAAAGCAGGGAACAGAATCTGCATTGCCTCTGGTCGAAATGCCAATACTCATAGGATTGTATAGCCAAAACAATGAACAGCAAACAGCAATTTTTGAAGACTTCCCTTTGTCCTTCGTCTCGAATTGGTGTTCAACTAATATTTTTATAGCAAATGCAACTAACAAATCGAAAATTGAAAAGAGGGCTTTACCGAAATTCTTAGCTATTACAATATTTGGTACCATTAGGTACGCCAATAAGGGACTGTATCTGTATGTATGACGTTGGTATGGAGAGTTACCGTTGACGACGTGTCTCGCAGCGTCCGAGAACACTTTGTAGTCGACATCCGTGTATGGAACATCATAAATTTTATCGTGAAAGTCTCCATAGAGGATTAGTATGAACCGTATTAGAGCACCTGCTAGTAGATGGCATCTAAATGGCAAATTGAGGTATTGTTTTAACGTCTCCATTTTAAATCCTAGTTTTTAAATCTTTAGCAGCAGATTGCAAACACGACTTGAAATCTTGGAATTCTTTAGCACAATCGTCCTTTTTCACTGAATCTTCTTTTAGCAATACACAACGGGCGTACAGGGTTCCTTGTTTTGAGCACTTGGCAAACAGTAACGGGTACTTAGCTAGCCTCTCTCTGGCTTTCGCTACGGATTCCATAGTTAGTTTTCTGAACTTTGAATGAACCTCCTTGTTTGTAGGGTCGTCGGCGGTTCAGATAGATCAATATCCTCACGAGGCCTGATGAATATGTCGTAAATAGGCTTGGAGAAGAATATCCCAAGCGATAATACAGTAAATGTTATTTGAAACGTTTTTGGGTATCGGAATATCCAACTTCTTTTGCCTAATGGTTTGCTCCGACGACGATTGTCCATAACGGGCTGGAAAAAATATAGTTACAATAGTAAAGTCACAATAGTAAATCATAAATAAACAGACAACCTACGCGACGATAAGTAGCAATCGTCGCCTATATGCATAAACATTATCAAGTTTTGCATGCTTGAGGTATGCAAATCGATTTCGAAAACTTAATAGCTTAGTAATACACGATCTGACTCATGAATATAATACTGATGTTCAGTAATCAGAGATTGGTTATCTATTGCCGTTGTCATGTAACACTCTCAAAATATTACAGTAAATGTTTTAGTACTCGTTTATTTTTACATAACAAAGAAATTTATTGACTGTTTGTGTCCAAATAAATAAAACTCACTCAACAACGGCTTGTACGAATTTATCTAAAAGAATATATATATACAAGTCTATTGAGTGAACCGTCTTTTGTATCAACATTGTTACTTATGTTTACTATTGCTTGAGAGTTATATTCAAACTGCCCTCAAGATTATTAATTATTAATCAAGTTTTTGATTTGAATAAAATAAATTGTTTTCCTCGTGAAGAGATACAATTTTCCGTGAGCGTTAGTAATCGATTATAATTATTGTGTTAATATTGTTCATGACTGCAGATGGTTACTAACCTACTTCCATCGGGGGAAGGGATTGTTAGTAATGGGGAGGTTGGTCCCCATTGCTATTAATATACCCTATCAGGTCAATTTCCGGGCGGTTCCCCCTGGAAATTGTTGTGACAAATTTATCGTTGAATTCGTCACGATGGGCTAACTGACCTGCCTTTTCATCCTCACCAATCATCCCTTATTGATGCTCCGCCAGTGTATTCCATTAAAAAACAACCTACTTCCATCAATCGAGCATAAGGAAACTTAGAGGGTTAGAATTTTCTGGTACCCACCTCTGGATCCAAGGGGAGCTACGAGTTATGTGCAAAGATAATATCTCTGCTGTCTTAACCCCCCCCCCCTGAAAAATCTTCATTATAGGCGTGTTTTGGCTTCATTTGCACTAAGTTATAGCAGAAAAAAATACTTACCTATTTCTTATGCGGTCTATCAGTTACGGGCGCGAACTGTCTAGGCTCGAGATCGTAACCTTCACAAACTAGAGACGAAGACGAAGGCTTGTATTTTATGCAACACTTGCGCATCGCCTCGAATACCCGCTCGCAACGTACCTCTTGGTAGTTGTTCTCTGTTAAATAACAATAACCATTAAGTAATGTACTTGATACTCGAGTTCACTATGAAAAAAAGGTTAAGAACATCTGGGGAGAGAGATACTTCTGTCTCAATTACTAAGCAGCTTGCGGGCACGTTCATAATGGTGAGAGCTTAACAGTGACGGTATCAATATAACCTGTTAGGTCTACCTCCAGACAATTCCTCTGGAAACCAAGCGGAGTTAACATTGTCTCATAAAAAAAAAAAAAAAAACTTGATACTAAATACATGTCTCAAGACCTTTATGTCAGTGTCGATAAGAAGTGATACCTCTAATGTTAACGATTATGGATTACGATGGCCTCTGACTGTCAGGCGAAACATGTTTGGCATCCTTACCCTATTCCTCTTTGGGTAAAAAATATTAATAATTTAATTCTTAATTTCTAGTGATTTCGAACTTGGTGTTGGTAGACCCCACCACATAGAGCTTTGATCTCTGGTTAAAGTACTCAATAAAAGAAATCTAGATATTAAAAATTTGATACAAAAGTATTAACTCTGGGCTGGTATATTAAAGTAATTGCAGTTTTTTTTATACCACTGAGGTGGCAAACAAGCATACGGCCCACCTGATGGTAAGTGGTTATCGTAGCCTATGAACACCTGCAATACCAGAGGTATTACGCATGCATTGCCGACCCTGAAAAAACCTCTTTACCCCCCTTTTGAAGAACCCCATGCTGTAAGTTATTTTATAAAACAAACGGAGTAAACTCTCCCACTTCCAGTTAGTAAATAGGCATGGTTAATTTTCGTGAGTCACAACTGACCTGGTTAATTAATTAACATTGTTAGTCTGTGAAAAGTATCACAGATTATTTAACACATTTACAAGTTGCACTTTAAAGAAAAATGAAGTGAAGCTGAAGAGTACGTGAAAAGATTTTTTTTTATTTTTTTTTATACAACTTAGAATGGCAAACAATTTTTGGATTTGAACAGTTGGGTGTATAACGCGAAAGTGTGTGGATGTAACAGTCCTATTTGTTAGTAAAATATCCTATTAGGTCGACCTATTAGGCGTGGTTCCTTTTGGAAACCATTGTGGTTAATTCTTGTGGAATTAATCAGGACGGACCAACTGATCTGCTTTCATTCTCATCTGTTATCTTACACTGGTGCTCTGGGATGAAAATGGAATGGTAACCTTACCTGTGCTATTGGTATACCAGTGAGAGATGATCAGGAAAAAGCTGAGGAGGAAAGCAGGCCAGTTAACTCATAGTGACACTTTATACAAGAATAAACTACTATGGTTTCCAGGGGGAACAGCGTGGTCGTCGACCTAACAGGATATGTTGCTAGCAATAGGATTTTAGGCAGGCAAGGTTAGTATTTCATTTTAACCGGTAAAAAATATGCTGGTCGAAGAAAGAAAGTTTTCAATTGATTGATTCAAAGTAAACTTAAAGATTATGAAATATTAATGTTACGTGTTATTGTTGTATCAGACGTAAACTGTCCACTGCTGAACATAACCTCTCTCATGTTGCCAGTAGTTGCCATGCTTGGCAAGCGAATTGGCAATCGCAGTTTAGTTTGGTTATGTTTTTAAAAGGACGCTGCTGCCTATCCCTTCACCGTAAACTCTCTTAGTCGAATGGAAGGAGTGGCCTATTCTATGCCAGGTCCTACACGGCTAAATATTAAGTATGAAATGCTAATGTTAAATGAATAACGTAAAACAATATTCACCGTATGGCGAGTGACTGACCGAGTACACGCCCATACGATAAGAAGTGTAACGGCGAGTGGCGATAACTCCAAATTCTGATAAAATATATATTGAAAACATGTACAGTTCAATTATCTATTTAGTAGGATGGCATATTGCGTCTTACTATGTATTGTTTTAATGCAATTTAGAATTTCTTCGACTCAAAGGTTATCTGGATGAGATTGCTTTAGCGATAAGACCGCATTTTGTTCTTTTTAAATGTAATATTTTTTTTTTGTATTATTCTTTAAATGGTGCAATAAAGAGAAATAATGGCAAACAAGCTGACTTACAACCTATGTTAGTAAGTAACCGTCGCGTATAGTAATGTGTTTCATTACGTATAATGTCAACTTGTACCCTTCATGTGCGCTGGTAAGATTGATAAGATGAAGTTTTTTTATTTATAGGTAAGCATTGAAGTAATTAATACTAGCCATATTCCGTGGCTCTACCCACGTGAATCAGTAGGTACATAAAGTGTTCTACGTGCTAAGTTAGGATATAAACTATCTGTGTAGCAAATTTCATACAAATCCGTTTAATAGTTCTTGCATGAAAGAGCAACGAACATCCATCCATAGTTACAAAGTTTATTATATTAATAGAAAGGGTAATTCTATGGAGGATTGGTAAGTTCTCAATGCACAATCCGTAAATGGTTGGACCGATTTGCGTCCAATCTAAAATTTCAATTAAATCAACTTTCAGATAACAGAGTTTTTTTTATTAATATATGGAACTATGATACCATAGAATGTACAGATTGTAGTTTTATTGATAGAAAAAGGGGGGAAAGGGGTTGTTAGTAATTGAGACTGAGAATTCCCATTGCTAGCAATATACCCAACCAGGTCGACCTCCTCGCGGTTCCCCTATGGAAACTATCATGGTTAATTCCTGATGAATTCATGATGGGCTAACTGCCCTGTTTTCATTCTCATCTATCACCCTTCACTGGTGCTCCGCCAGCGTATCCCGGAAGCGCAGGTGGGGTTACCATACCATTTCCACCCATAAAAAAAAAAAGATATCTTTACCTTACTATATATTATTTATATGTTGTGCTGTGAATCAGTTGTAACCCAGAATGAAATTTGATATAGGACACATAATACTTCAATTCTCAACAGTGGTAACGCATGAGTGGAGCCGTGGGCATGGACAGTAAATTTTATTTCATGATACTCTGAATTCGTTGAATATTTTCCTCTATAGGCTTGTTGTGTGTGTGATGATGATATATTAGAATATACAGGAAAAGACTGGTTTATGATAGGCAGAAACAGAGAGTTGTGGAGAAAGATGGAGGAGGCCTTCACCCAAAGAGGGGTCCATATCCAAGAATCAAATAATTACACTAACAATTAGTTATTAAGAAAAAATATAAAATAGATTAGATACTAACAATACTGTAAATATATTAGGAATATAGAAATAAATAAAAGGCTTTATTATTATTATTATAGGCTTGTTGTTACTAAAGTTATCGAGACACTTCATTACTGTTTGCAATAATAAGCAATAATTATTATATAACTCGAGCCGTCATAGATAAAACATCTATCAAGCTATAATTATATATTTTTTTTATATCCGTTGTTATATTTATGTGACGAGAAATGATTATCATTTTAAAATGTATAAAGTATTATTTTCTTGACGTGATAATGCTTTATTCTTATTTTTTTTTTTAACAGAATTCACATCTCCCCTCTAAAGAGGAGAGATTGCGTACTAACCTTCGGCTGAAGCACAGACGGCCGGAGTTCAGGGCGCCAGGGAAATAAACCAATTTACTATGCGAGCAGTTCTTTTTTTATGGTTGAAGATGGAATGGTAACCCCGTCTACGGTATCGGTATACATTGACGGGTCAGCAGTTAAGGATGACAGGTGAGGATGATGACAGGTCAGTTGGCCCATAGTGACCACTTGAACAAGAAATAACCACTATGGTTTCCCAGGGAAACCGCGTGAAGGTCGACCTGATAGGGTGTATTCCTAGCAATGAGGTTGTTAAATCTCATTACTAACAATCCCTTTTCCCCTTGCGGGCAGTATTTAGATGGCCGCTTTCGGCATCTTTCTCGGAAGAACGCTGCCTTGGAATCCCAACCGTCTGAAGTGTTATACTAGACCGGTTTGGATAACATCTTCATCGTCGTCAGGATGATTTTGGTGGATGTCACCCCACATATTTCGTTCATTTCGTGAGCTAAGCCGAGATACTTCTTCTTGGTTTCGGCTTTTACAAGGTTCTCGTCATGCTCTATTGTGACATCCGTCCAAAACACCCTATAAATGTTATAAACAAAATCACAAAACATACAAGCGAACCTATCACTTAAAGGTCGTTATATTCTTAAAAAAAAGGGTAAAGTTCTTAATCAATTTTGTTTCAAGAATAATTAATTAGCAGCAAACAAAAATGGATTTTGTCTATTGGACGTTTTGTCTATGAATAAATGCAGACTTCAACATGCGTACATATTCAATAGTAAATGGATAGATAGATACCTACTCTGTATTGTTTCCTTAAACATTACAGTAGTAACGTTATAATAGATACAAACAATTACAAGAAATGATCACAGTAAGAAAATAATGGGCGGCCTTATCGCTAAAAGCGATCTCTTCCAGGCAACTTTTGAATGTAGCGGAGTAATTTTATTTTAATGGATGATAATGAAATGGTAACCCCGATGAAATGGTAAACTGCGCTAACGGTATACACTGGCGAGGCACCAGTGAGGGATGATAGGTGAGGGTGAAAAGACAGGTCAGCTAGCCCATGTGTTGATTACACTTGGAATCTAGCACGATGGTTTCCAGGGGGGATCACGTGGAGGCCGACCTGATTGAGTATACTGCTAGCAATTGGGCCCTTAGTCACGACAAACAATCCCCCCCCCCCCCTCCTGTAGAGGAGTAATTATAAACAGTTAGTAGTACAAATAGAAAGCGATTAATATTTCCATTTGTTGTTAATTTCATTTCGGTGTTTAACTTCAATAAGATTTGGTAGTCTTTTTAATAAGGTCTTTTAAAACAGATTATGGAATTAAAATTATGTATGTGTAAATCCATTGAAAACTTGCTTACCATCAGCGTCGAATTGAGAAAATCGCCGGAATAATTCGGAAAATTTCCTATCCCCGCACGAATTCTAATGATGTAATCAAATATAGTGTGCACGATGCGGTCGAATCGCTTTATTATCGACGTCGTGCGGATGATAGTGGCCCTACATTTTTATATGAAACCTTACAATTTAGTCAGGGTTGGAACCGATCATATACGTATAATACGTTTCGTACATTTTTCTAAATTCAAATCGTATTGATTCAAATACTTCTTTACAAGCACTTTTAAATGTTTTTTTCTTTTTTTTTATGAATGCAGTGTTTGGAATGTTGTTATTTGTTGAAAAGAGCCCGTAATAAACTGAACGGTTACCGTTTTAAATCTCAGTTAACATTATGTGTATTTATTTAAATGTACCGTCTAAAATTACATGATCAACTACAGTGCATGATCAACTAATACCATGCACGTTTGTCATTCAAGTAATCGTTTAGTGCGTAATAGGCTTTATTCAATAAGTGTTTTAAAGTATGAATGGAATTATAATTCTGTCTGTTCAGTTGTTAGTAGTTCTGAGAGGCATGTTAGTATTTGGTTGCTAGCAATATGCTAGTGACTACCATTATAAACGCAAAAGTTTGTGAGGATGGAACGATGCTTGTTTCTTTTACATGCAAAAACTATTAATTCCTGGTGATTTGTCTGACCAGGTTCCATTTATGCCTAAATAAGCGGGGTAATAATAATGGTTGGGATAGCGTTATTTTGGCAATAGTAGTTAGAAAATTAATTAGTCTATGAAAGGAACATACAAATCTGAAAGCATTCCTGCTGACAGGTTCAATTTGTGTTCGCCAAATAAGAGAACTTAATAATTACACAAAGATTTTTTACTAATGTACTGAAGGGTAAAATTTAAAATTCAAAAATCATTTATTCATGTAGGACATTTTAGCCGCTTATGAACGTCAAATTTTTACATTATAATTTTATTTTTTTCCCTACCGTCCAGTTCGGTATATAGATCCAATTGAGAAGAACTGGCAAGAAACTTTTTTTTTTAAAGCCAGTTTATTTACAATATAACCACATCACCAAAAGTTATAGGTACTAGCATCGAATGGTCTTCCTTTTGGACTAGCTTGAGACTAGTCAATAATACTACCTGAGATTCGGAAGGATTTACTTTCAGTCCAAAAACCTTATTCCAATTACTTATATACATACTCTATGTTAAAATTAAACATAAACGACAATAAGGTATTGTCTGAAATAAAAATCAGTGTTCAGCAATTTATACATATATTTTATTAACAATATGATATAATAGACACGAGTTTTTAATCCCTTAAGAAAAACGATAACTTTTTATACAAGAAGGTAGTAAATTAATTTGATGATATAATAATAAAAAGAAGATTAAATAACATGGACTTCATACTAATTTTCATGATTAAAACATACTAATGCTATATTATTACTCGGGAAACCACATGTGGACTAAGTTTTCGCGAGTACGATGACGTTCAGTGGAAATTTCGCCATTGGCATGTGTATAATCACGGTTAGATGCCATTTTGAAACCTAATTCAATATTACAAGATTAATTTTCAGTACACATTTCAAAATGCATTTACATTTTAAAATTGTATCGACGTTGTCTTTTATTGTTAACAAAATCGTATTTCTCTTTTATTTCGTTGTGTCTGTATTTTGTTTAATAGATTAAATAATAAAGAGGCAATCATAGAATTTGACAAGTTTGTAGTTAGGAGTGTACAGTACAGTCGGCGTCAGTAACGTCCACTCTATACCCAGACAGCGGTGTTTACTAATGTATGGGGACTATAATCATTTCCTAATATCCCGACAAAAGTTACAATTGAGACGAAGTACGCTTGATACTTTCAATTGATATAAATTGATGTAGGCACCAACTATACAATGCAACATTTTATTCGCTGTTTTCACCATTTCACAATAATGCTTAAATATGAAAATAAAGTTAGTAAATAGGTAGTGTAAGACCATCAGTTACAAGTTTTAATACGACAGATGTATTTTTAATGTAAATAGGGTTTGTAATTGTAAGATGGCACTGTAGGATATTATCTTTTCTAAGTCATGATTTTTCAGAATTTAGCTACTTAAAGTTATGGAAATAAAACTTAACTGGAAGTACTACCATTTGCATAAGTAGCAATAGGTGCATAATAATTGCACTATAAAGTTACGTTCTTTTTATATCATTAAATATTTTCTTCACAATGTGCTTGAAGAATGAAAGGATATAAAAAGAATTAATATGACAATAAATAAAAATGTCTCAGTGCGCTACCTACTTAGCATACAAACAGTCTATCAGCTATCTCACATGATACCATTTTGGACACTGTCTTAATAGATTATTGTTAGTACGTGTATTACTTTTATTTTATACTAATCACACTTCGTATTAACCAACAGATCTTCAACCGTGAATCAATATTTTTATTTTTAACAATCGTTTATATAATTGAAATATCTTAATTACGCAATCCTATACAAAATTTACATTATTTTCAAACGTATCAAAATGCAATGTGAATGCACATCAAACAAGCTGGTGATGGGGCCTTATCATGACGCCATGGAGAGTGCACATTATCATGTAATGCTAATTATTTCAAGTGAAGTCGAATTAATGATTTTATCATAGCTACCTACAAACCACATACTTCAGAAAGCCCGTGATCTGTTACTTCTATTATATTTAATAGTCTTTTGACATATACATTAAAGCTACTGTAATAATAAACTATTTTTATTTAGGACATGCGGCCATGAAAGTAAATAAAACTTATTTAATAATAAAGGTCGAAATGTTAAAAGACAACTGGTTCAATGTAAAATATGTAAAAAACAAAATAATTTCTTACAGCAATTTCAACTATTTTTTTGTGAATCTTCCTTTAGACGTATTTATTTTCGAGGGTAGATTTACATTTTGAAATACGACCTTTTTTTATATGCGAATACAAATCAATGTGAGTAAACATGCAACAATATAAATAACTGTTATATTTCTTGTGTAAAAAAAAACAACAATTATGATAAAAATACTGATAATAGGACAAGTTTTTTATCAATGCATATTAACAATAAATAAATGTAGTATAATTAATTGTAGATGTTGATTCAGTTTAAAAATTGTGTAGATTTATTTGTAGTTAACATAAAATTGTAAAAAAATTAAATAAAATAATTATGAAATGTAATAAATTAATAAATCAAGGTATGAAGTTTTTCACTAAATTAAATTCTAAATCGTTTATAAACAGAGCAATAAGACAATTTGACTTCCGATTTTAAAATCAGTAATTTTGAATTGTGTAGTGGCTATGCAAATTCCAACGTTAAATATGTAATTTGTCTTTCCTTATGAATGATAAAAAGTAATAAAAGATATGAAACAGGTACCTTTAACCTTACAGATAAAAGATTTATAAAAAAAAAAAATAACAATTGAGAACTTTTAAAATTTTATAATATGGCCATTTCATTTATCAACTGCAGTCTTAATATTTTGATTTAGTGAAAGCTGCTAAGTATTTCTCACATTATTGAGGGTAGAATTTGTTTCTTTATAAATTGATTTAACTCCAAAAGCATTATAAAGTAGATATACATTTCATTTTTCAAATTATTATCTAATATCTTCCTATACCAACCACAACTGGATTGCTTTCATTTATACATATAAACTATTAGCTTTATTACAATTACTCTTGTAATAAAGGAATATATATCTATTTATAAACATTATTATATAGAGGCTTATAGCAATGTACACTTAATTTCATAGAATGTTCTACAATTAAATGTCTGAAACATTGGTAATAACTTTTAAATGTTTTCAACATACAACTAAAAAAATGTGGTACTACAATAACATGTCCAATATTGTGTATCAGTTGCTTTTTTCTAAACAATTGTCTTCAAGTAAGAAAACATACAGTTCATCTCGTCGGCGACTGTTAAGTCAACCGAGCATGTGCATATCGGCTATTGACTTGAATTGGCTTCCACTGTTTCTGGTCGATTTAGTATGGGTTTTTCAGCAATTTGTGGCTTCTCTGAAACTGGTGGTTTTTCCACTAGCACTGGTTTTTCTGCAATCGGAGGTTTGTCTTCACTTGGCTCAACAGATTGCTCAGTAGCATCATCAACCTCATTATGAATATGAGTGTTTGATAACTTATTTGTTATTATATCAGGTTTTTCTTGCTCCATTTCACTAGGGCCATTACGTTTCTCATCCTCATTAGTTGATGGTGAAATTGACCTCTGAATGGAATTCTCTGGGTGCAAAGGGGATACACCTCTAGCAGAATTGTCTTCACTTGAAGCACTCAGCTGTCTTGGTGTTGATGAATGAGCTGGATGTGATAATGTCTGTGGGAGGTGTGGATTATGTAATGGCAGTCTCGACTTATCACTCTTCCTCCATAGTGTTACTTCTTGTTGTTTGAAATAACGCCGGTCCTCTGTGTCCATAAGGACCAAATTCAAATAATACCTTACAGAGAATTTGTTGTTTATGTCCCTCATTGTAGGTGTTAGGTCATAACCAGCTAAAAACACTCTAATAGGAATGCTCTCACCCCTAACTGGGGCCCCATCCATGATTTCATATTTAGCAACTGTCTCATTCTCTGTAAAGGTGTTAGGCCCAGAACCAGTTGTTTCCCTTTTAATAATTGAGATTTCCATATGTCGAATTTTGATTCGCACAAGAAGGAAATAAATTTTGCCCACTATTACGTCTTTCAAGTGATACTTTGATTTGTTATATTCAAATTCTATGTGCAAACAATCTTCTATGCCTACTTCCATTTTTATCGAGTTAAGCACATCAGGATAGCTGCATAGCGTGTGAACAGCAATATCCACTTCTTTTACTATGTCTGTGAGACGGCGTATGATTGTCGCTCGAAGGAAATACCTTAGTCTGACATTAGCGCCTGTGTACACTTCGTAAGGTTTTTCGACGTTAGCAAATTCAAAAGGATACGAAGTATGTTGTAATAAATCTCCAGGACGAGCTAATTCCTTCACTAACGATATAAATTCATGGTGGTTGCCTCTGTCGTAGAATAATTCAATCTGACCTATAAGCTCGACCTTGATACCTTGATGTTCTAGTTTTGATCCTGGCTTCCTTAAAGTGACGTTCACACGACCAGAGACAGTTTCGCCGTCGTAATAAAGTAATAACTTCTCTTTTTTGCCGTCATCGGTTTTCACTTCAGCAACTTTTCGTTTGTCAGCATCATCGAAATGTATTTCGATGTCCGCCGTCTGGCCGAATCCAAAGAAGCTCATTTTTACACTTAACTGTTACGCGAGATTTCCGAAACTTTTACGTGGCTTTCGACAAGAACAATAATGAATTATTTGAGCAATACATTGAAAAAACGGCGATGAAACGCCCGCGAATCGGTAAGGGGATTGAAAGATTGAAGCAAAGATGGCGACTGATATCATGTCGGCTGTCGGCAAATAGGTTAATAAATAAATTTATGTGAATAGAACTCACCAACAAGGCATTTCTGGATGTCACAAGCAAATCTCTTGCAAGGGTCCTTCGACATATATAAAAACTTGTATTATTTTTTTACATAAAGTATTTTTAAAACATGAATTTCAATCATGTGTACATCTGTAAATTTTTAATATGGCAACAATTTTTAAATGAAATGAAAACAAATTTGATAAACTACTTTAAAATTATTTTTTTACATTTTTCTAACTTTATAGTATTTTTGGCATGTAATTTTTACTAAATTATTTTAAAATTCATGTATTTATGAATATCATTAATTGTTATTATATTTTTTTATATAATTGTAACACTAATAAAAAATGTTGCCAATCTTACGTAATCACTAAAAGTCTAAATTCAATTTCGCCAACATTCATCGATTATTTTCCTTTTCATTTCTCGTCTCTCTAAATTGTAAATGGCGGATAATAAAACTTTATAACAAAAGTGAGATTCTTATTTAATAAATCACTTCAGATCTCTTGTAAATATGGAGATAACTCGTACCACGCTTGGAATTGCAGCTGGAATAGCTGGAACAATATTTCTTGGCTACTGTGTGTATTTTGATCAACAACGTCGAAAGGATCCACTTTTCAAAAAGAAGTTGAGAGAACGTTAGTATTATTATTTTATTAATAAATTCATTTAAACTGTACTTATCAATCTCATTTATTGGATAATTCCATTCATAACCAATTTAGGCAGGGGCTCATTTAATTATTACAACGCAATCTGCTGGAACATTGCGCAAAATATAACCTAAAATTACACCACATTACATGTCTATTTCCCTTTTCAATTGTTTTTCGCTTCATTACATATTTAAGATCGTTATTTAACATCAGTATATTATATCTGATTGGATAATTAAAAGAATTATACGTAACAGTGACATTGACATGGTTGCCAAATTTAGTTCACGAATTAATGAATGATCGAAGTTCTTTTATTATATTAATTTTGTAATTGGACCGTCATTAAAATATGTATAGATAAGTACATAATTAATTTTGAATTTATTAACTTTTATCCAATTCAGACAATTTTGAATATATATATATATATATATAATTTTGATTGTTTTGTATAATAATATATATATTATATGTAAAATTTAATTGTAGGCAGACAGAGGGCACAACAGAATTCATCACGGTCACGGACCCTAGGTGGCCCATTGCCCGATTTGAGTGACCATGAAGCTATGCAGAGATTCTTTTTGCAACAGGTAAAATGGCTCCACACTACAATACATAACCATTATGAAAAAGACCAATATTGACATTCATGGTCTTCCTGTATAGGCAACAATTATCTAGAAAGTGGTTATTGTCATTGCCATACATAATGTGAAGTATGTTTCCCAAGTTTACTTTGCTATGTATCTAAGAGACAGCAAACATGTGGTGAATTTATTTATTTCTAAATAAAATCAACAACAATTGACTTAAGTATTATAAAAATACCTAGAGGAAATTATAAAGAAGTTAATTGATACTCATAACTGTTGGTTGTAAGCAATACCATTGACAACTTAATTCACTGTATTATCTATGGTACTCCTTATGTCTCATACTTAAAAATTAAGGTTTATGTCTCACCATAACATAGCAATAAATTTGAATAGGAATCTATTTAGTAGTAATAGTGTTTGATTGTGTCCTATGAAAAAAAAAAAACTCGACTTTAAGGAAGTGGTTTTTAGGGCTCTGTATCACCAAAACAAAAAATGGATGTACAGAGGAACATAATGTCCATTCATCTGTCCCTCTGTCTGTCAAGACCCCTTTTCTTAGGAATGCGTAGAGTATCAAGTTGAAATTAATATCATACAATAAAATCTTGAAATTTGGCAAGAAGCAAAGTCATGTAGCACAAATAAAGTACATATTTATTCAAAATAAATTATAACTATGATTACATAGGATTAATTATATAACATTAAGGATTACCTTGTGTATAATAAAGTAAAAATTATAAATAAAGAAATGCTCACAGTATATATATCTCTTCTTTAGTAAATTTTGTCTGTAAAACAAGATAAAAAAATTCCTGTCTTTTATTTACTGAGACATCAAGGTATATTATATTTTTTTTTTACAAATATTTCAGATTCAATTAGGTGAAGAGCTCTTGGCTGCAGGTGATCTGGAAGCAGGTGTAGAGCACCTTGGTCAAGCTGTAACAGTTTGTGGTCAAACACAGCAATTGCTCAGTGTGAGTAAATTATGTAATTTTTTAGAAGTGTTCTTTTTTATGATGAGTTATGATATTAGCAAATTTTCATTAAATTTTAATATAATGAATGATCAAGATTTTAAATGAAAAAAAAAATTTTTTTTTAAATATGTATTTAATGCTATAAAACAGGGGTGCTCAAATGACCAATCATGGTCTACCTTGACTAAAAAAGTTTGTATTGTGCTAAAAACTAATATTTTTGCCACAATACAGCCTGCTTAGATTAGAATCCTGCATCACAAATACTTTTTTTTTTATATATTTGATAATGGAACGATAATCCCACTTGTGCTAATAGTATATTCTGGCGGGATCCAGTGAGGAATGATAGGTGATAATAAAAAAGCAGATCAGTTTGCCCATCGTAATGAATAGATCTGGAATTCAGCATGATGGTTACAAAGGGAGACCACGTGGCCATCAATATGACAGGGTATATTGCTAGCAATGGGTCTGATAGGCTGCATTATTAACAAACCCCTTCCCCCATCATACATACTTGCTGCCTCTTAACGTCGATCGATCATAGTCTAACAATATTGAGATAAATCGCCAGCAGTTCAAGTTTAAGCACCTCTGCTATAAAAGAACTAAGGATATATGAGAGCGAAACTGAAATTCAGTCACTGTTCTGTGATTTTCATACAATAATTTTGTTGTGTAGGTAACACTGTAAATTACATATTAGTCTGTCTGCGTGTCATCCTTATTAGACACGGAATATAATGATTCTTTTAGAACAGTCTGTGGTGTTATTGCTTATGTTTATCTCTTACTATGAGGTGTTGTTCGACAATTCATTTTGCTTAAAAACTCGTCATCATAATCCTACCCGTATCCCAATTATTATTTGTGATTGGCATTATATGTTTTTATTTTCCATGTTGCATAAAAATAGTTTTGTAAATTTTCAAAACTAATTTTTCATTTCAGGTGCTTCAACAAACCATGCCAGCGCCTATCTTCCATTTACTATTGAAGAAGTTACCAGAGGTGTCTGAGCGTCTCCGCGCCAACATAAAGGCAAGCGGTAATGAGCTGCAAGAGGAGGATGTTGAATAAATAGTTGCGTTACAAGTCTCGCACACTCCTGTTACATATTGGTAGGCTTTCCGTTTTTGTGTACAGTCAGATCACACTACATGAAAACAAGTGTAATATTATTGTTACAACTATTGGCTATTTAATTGCTTTATTGATGAGGTATTTAATATTTAAAAAGTTGTATAATGCAATTGTAATCGAAATCGGTTCAAAATTAAAGAACGGGAAGAGCATTTAAAAACAAATCAATGGTATTACTTACCATTATTAATTATATTTAAAAAATCCAATTCAATTATTGATTAAAGTCAATTTGATTAATTCATCTCACATTGAAGGAATGAATGTACAATTTAACTGACAATGATTAAACTCAATGGAGTTGTCATTCTCCAATTCATTGATAATGCAGATTATATTATTGTATTAAGTTTAATATAATACCTGTATTTAGATTAGCGATGCAAAGAATTGTAATTTACGAATTATATGATCTATGAGCCCAAATATATAATGGTTCAATCACAATGCTAGGTGTCGAAATCCCTCTACAAACTAGCTAAAGGCATATCAAAAAATTATTGACAAGTGTTATTGTACAGTGTAGGGTTTTGTCATTCTTAAGCAGAACATACTGAAGTATGTGTTACAATGCACATGCATTTGTATAAATTCGCACGTTAAGCACACATGTGCTAGAATTGTCTATGGTAGACGAACATCATTATAGGGGGAAAGAAGGGGGGTGTAAAATCATTTCGTATTTGAGAGCTGCACTCTTATCGTTGTAGCTCTCGCCACTCACTACGATTTCTAGTGAATCTCTTCACCTCTTTTTCTCCCTTATGTCCTTTCACCACATTTCAAAGATTCACGTCTCACATCCATACACAGCTATACTCCAGTATAAGTGGGTCGTGTACTCCATAAACTTTGTAGACGTGTCTGAGAATAAATATGTTTTTTTATAAGGGGCTGGACACCCTTCGGGATACTTTTTTTTTTAATATAGTGGTGTAAGCTCTCACTGCTGTTATAGTGAAATTGATGTACGCAATCACGGAAAGTGCCTTCTTTAGTACCTTCTGCTAGTTTTGTCTCTATTTCAAACTTCCCGTTCCTAGTTTAGGTTGTTTATGGTCGAGTTGATAATATGTTACACGTGAGAATCTGTATTATGAGTGCCCAATTTTTAACCTTTTCTCTTTCACATAAGATTAATTATAATTGAGAAATAAGTACGAATAAATAGTGTGTAGTTAATTTTTAAATTTGCTATTTAATTTGTTATTTATAATTAGTATGTCGTTTATATTTCACATAAATCAAACATTACCTGTTGAAATTTTCGAGTAGCATTGGCTGTGATACAAATTAATAAGGGAAAAGTTCACCGTTTACAGAAATATTACTCAGATGGAATGCGACGTATGACGCTGGTGAAACAGTATACTTGTTTGTTAGTGTTATATTTAGGTTTTTGTGTTCACAACAGTTAAGTATGCTTGTGAGTTTTGATTGAGGATTTTATTGTAAAATAAAAGTATTGTACAATGGTGGCAGTTTTATTTTTACTACCTATATGTAGACTAAGCCAATTTTTGTGTGCAAGATATTTTTATTTGAAAATTGTTTTATCCGATTGAGAAAAGGTGAGGTGTGAAATATTATATTTAACCTACTGACCGCTTAGCTAATAATTCGTAGGTTTTTAAATTCGTAACTTTTTAAATATACAATAATTTTTTTTTTATTATGATCCCATCGGGCTCCGATGATTTTGCCGAAAATTCTTCGACTGATTGACAGATAATTGCGAAGTTGTCACAGTCAAGCTAAAGTTATGAACTCTTTAAAGGAGCAAGGCATTTCAATGTCTATTTCTGAAAATGCTTTTCACTTCTGTTGAAAATTCATACTATAGACGTCTTCTAATTTGTAGGTGTTTGGTAAAATTATTAAATCAGTCTATATACTGTCATAAAAAATTGTTTAATAGTGTTTTAAAACAATTCTAACAGTTAAGTACTTACAATGACCCCTAAACCACATAAACTGAGTATAAATAAAATACAACAATTATTGTAAATAATTAAAATTAATAAAGTGACGATAACAAGGACAATAAAGTTTGTACATAAATACATTCATACTGTACTTATTTATAGGAGAGATATCATTTATTTCAATAAATAAATCGTAAATTAATTTAATTCAGTTTAGGTTTTATATACAACTTTAACAGAATGGTAATAAGGTTCATAGTGACTTTCTTTCTATACAAGTAGACAAATCAGATAAAAAATATAGACATTTCATTTTTGTACAAACATACTATGTACATAAATGGTGTATAATTACTAAACAGTAGTAAAGTCTTTTATATACTAATTTAACTAATTAATTGGAAATCGCACCCAGATTTTTAACAATAAATATATTTCTATATTCATCACCTTTATATCTACAAAAGTAAAATAAAGATGCCAACATAATGGAGAAATAAACATTTGTATTTACACAAATAGTCAAGAATGATCATGAGACCTTTTGTGAAGAATTTCTTATAGTATCTTGAGACACCTTCATTACTTCTGTAGCACCTTCTGACATTAATATATTGGCCAAATCTTTGCCAATGTTCTCACATTTCTCTATAACCTCTAAAGATATATTTGCGTTTTCAGTCAGCCCGCAAAACAGTTGTATCTCCTTTTTCAAAGCTTCTATTTGTTCTTGGGTTCTTAAGTCAACACAGTTTAAATTTGCTTCTCCATTTGTTATTCTTCTATTCAATGCTTCTATAGGATTGACAGCATCGCTTTCAGTGCTATTTTCGGATTTGAATTTTTTGTTTTCGTTCTCGTTGGTTGGGCTGAGCTGATGTTTGGAGGATTTCTTAATTTGATCAAATGTTTGTTCCAATGTGTGTGATATCTTGGTGGTACCGTCTAGACTCCAAACAGCACCAGTTATGGTCAACTTGTATTGTCCGTCATGTGGTTTCAGTCTTGTAGATACGCCTACGGGAGCACTGCACCCCCCGCCTGTAAATCGAAAGGGAAAGGGACTGTTAGTAATGAGATTTAACAGCCTCATTGCTAGCAATACACCCTATCAGGTCGACCTCCACGCGGTTCCCTCTGGAAACTATAGTGGTTAAATCTTGTTCAATTGGTCACTATGGGCCAACTGACCTGCCTTCGACCTCCCCTGTCACCCTTCACTGGTGCCCCGTCAGTGTATACCGATAGTGCAGGCAGGGTTACCATTCCATCTTCACCCATTAAAAAAAAACATCCTTATAGTTGATTTGTGAATTCCTTACGTTGGGCCAACTGACATAACCCGCTATCATGCTCTACTAGTACCCCACCAGTTTATCAATATCGCAGATCGAGATATTATTCCATTTTCATCCATAGAACCTCTCCAAGATCGTGTTCCAAGTTTAACCGCGTAAATGTAATGAGAATGTATGACAAGATTGTTTCGATGCTTTTTTTTAGTGGATTAAAATAGAATGGTAACACTGCCTGCGCTATCTGTATTCTCCGACGAGGTACTTATGATTGGTGATAGCTAGTACTCAAGTGTGTATACAGGAATTAACATAAATGGTATCTGATGAGACCGTTTGTAGGATAATTTTAGAGTGTATGTTAATAATACTTCTGGTATTGCAGGTACCATACCGTAGGCTAAGGTAACTACTTACCATCAGGTGGGCTGTATGCTCGTTTACCACCTCAGTGGTATAAAAAAAATGGAGACTAGTGGCCCCATTTTACTAGTGTATACCAAACATTAACGTAGATTAAATATTTCTAAAAATTTTCTCCTCACTGTAGTGATACTATGTTCACTTACCTAGGGTCTTGAGGAAGCTCCTCTCGGCCAGCACTCTGCAGTATGTGTCCGCGTGGTTGAACGGCGCAAGCATGGCTAGTACGTCGTGGTTGTCCGCCCGACATTCCACAGCCAGCGCGCCCTGTCCCACCGCGTACAACATTTCCGAACACGGCAACACCTAGCAATTAAAATTTATAGTCTTACCAATCTTCTAATAAACCTATTATTGAAGTTTTTTTTTTAAATTATATTTGCAATTCAAAAGAGAGTTTCTATTTTTTTTGTGTAGCAAAATATTTTTGGATATATAACAGCGCTATCTCTCCTTTAATTAAGCATAGCTTTTTCTATATATACTAGACAATTTAAAAGAAATATTTTTTTTTTTATAAATACATACATATCATACATAGACCCAGATCAATATAAACAAACATAGTCACTGATACAAATATTTTTAATACGAGGTAATCGAACCCACGAACACTGGATGATAAAGCGGTATGTTAAGCTGCTACACCACCAAGGTAATAAAATCTATACTTATAATAAATCTGTAGAGAGGTCAATTCTGTACATGAAATATATTTTCAAAATACCTATCAGGGGGTGATCAGTGATCGATACTGATGCCAAAAATGCAATCAGTAAAATTTTTGTCTGTATGTTCGTTATAGAAACAAAAACTACTCGACGGATTTTAACGAAACTTGGTACAATTATTCTTCATACTCCTGGGCAGGTTATAGTATATACTTTTCATCACGCTACGATCAATAGGAGCAGAGCAGTGAAGGGAAATGTTAAAAATGTCCACCTGTGCGACGCCGGGACTGGCCGCTAGTTTAATATAATATTTGTCCGATATTTACCTTAGAAATCCTATGTGCCCACCCCATGCGCTGTAACCCGGCGCTCGCTAGAAGTAAAGCCGAATATTCGCTGTCTTCAGCATCCAGTTTGCGCAGCCTAGTGTTCAGGTTGCCGCGGACATCCACCACGGACAGCTGAGGGTAGGAGCTGCGGAGTTGTGCGGTGCGGCGTAGGGACGATGTACCTGAGAAACAATACGACTCAAATTAGAAATTGTGGGGGGGGGGGGAGGTTATTAGTAATGCGGACCAGCAGTCCCATTGTTTCCGGTTACCACTTTCCACCAAGTGGGCCGTCAGTTTGTTTGCCATTTTAAGTTGCATAAAAAAAAAGTAATCTGAGATAGGGTAACGTGATTACATTATCTTTGCGTTTAGCTTATCTATAAAATACACAAAACGGTCTCGTTACTTTTTTATACATTGATACATTCCATAATTTATCTATAGATTATAAAAAGTACGTGAGTTAACCCGACAACAGTGACATTACTTAATTTTTTATCAACTTTCAGGTGATGCGAAATACCGTTAACAAATTAAATAAATTCGATAAGTTAGAACCATTTTTTTATTAACAATAACTAATAAAGTAATTATTCACTAGCCATTTCCCGTGGCTTTGTCCGTGTGAATCAGTGGTTTGGTCTGTTTTTGTATCTCATTTCATTCAAATCTGTTCAGCTATTAAAGCGTGATTCAGTAACAAATTAGTGTACAAAACATACAAACATTGTAATTATTTATGTTACCTTTATTCACGTTTATTATTATTCTCGCACCCGACCGCGCTCATGAATAAGAGCTACTATCGAGTTTCGAAATTAGTTGGGCGTCCCCGAATTTAATAAGCGAGTAAATCCGGCATCAATAACTATAGTACAGTATGACTTATGATAGTTATTATTCATACTAATATTATTCGCTGATCCGGCAATCGTAATTTTGCTTCCTACCGCCACCTACCGGATTTATTTTTATCAGTTATCGGTATAAAAACAATCTTATCTCACAAGTTGAAGTAAACAATACACATTTACAAAATATAATTAAAATCGGTCGATTGGTTTCGGAGATTTGCGTGAATGAACATTAAATCTGTTCAATTAAAAGTAAAATTACTAATAAACTATTATAATAGAAACTTCCCGTGAGGTTAAAATCTCCATAAATTATGTTACGTAATACTTGAACGTTCCCAGAAAGAAATTAATAATAAACTATAACCGACCCGACTAGAAGTCCACCTTTCAGGTGGACTTCTAGTCGGGTTGGTTGTTCGTTTGTTTACATTTTCTAATGAAACATTATATATGGGATGGTCTTCTCTACCAGTTAATCATTACGTTGACTCTAAATATGTTTGTAAATAAAATAATTATATTTTATCTATTATAAAAACTGAGGTATTCTTACCGATAACTGAACCTTTGGGCAGCGTAGACAATGTGTGCTCTTTAAATTCCTCTCTGAGTACTAATGCATCGCGGGGGTCTTCCCTGCCAATACAAATAATCATTTATGTATTATGTTTTAGTAACTAACTAAAAAATAACTATGGACTTCCGCTAGATGGAGTGACGATCGTAAAATCATTGCAGGTAATCAGTGGAAGCAGGAGGATCCAGACCATTCTTTATGGTAGTCTATAGGAGAGGCCTATGTTCAACAGTTGACAGATAATGGCTGAGACGATTATGGTGGACTTTTGCAAGATAACACCTATTTAAAGAAAATATTCATAAGATTTTATCGCGAATTTATTGATTTTATAGCATATTTTATTCAGTGTTGTAGAACACAAGCAGATTAAAATTTAATCTTTCTGCTCAATTTTTAAATACATAATTAAGTATAAAAAATGAATCATCATCATCATTTCAGCCATTATCCATCCACTGCTGGACATAGGCCTCCCCCACAAACTGCTATAAAGAACGATCCTGAGCCACCTGTATCCACTGACTCCCTGCAATGCATTTCAGGTTGTCACTCCATCTAGTGAAGGGTCATCTTATACTAAAAATGAATATAACAGCATAATATCTTTATTAATAAAGGAGTTTTGTTATTGAAAAAATTAATTTTAGAACAGTCTCATACTAATTCTGCCTAAATTAAAAGTGTTCTTTAAATTAAAAAAAAAAATAGCCAATACATTACCTTTCAAATATAGCACCAATTGCAAGTCCGTCGGGCAGAGTTGTGGGAAGATCTTTTAAGGAGTGCACTACAAAGTCTACAGTGTTGTTCCTCAAGGCGTCCTCTAGGTCCTTAGTGAAGAGTGCCTTCTCACCTATTTTTGGCAGAGACACATTCAAGATGCGATCCCCTAATGTTGTCATGGTAACTGTAAATTATGTTTTAAATTACACCTTTAGTGCTAATAAAGAATTTATAGATCATTGAAAGAGGAAGACATAAAGGGATAAAAGCAAGGCAATGATGATGCTACTACTTATAACGCCAGAGGATGAAAGGATCATTAGTAATTGGGACCATAAGCCGCATTGTTTGTTTGCTACTAAATACCATCAAGTTTAATTTATTTAAATAACTTTATTTAGAAAACAAAATATGGTAGAGGTGAACATAATTCTAGATGAATTCATCATGGTGGATTAAATGATCTGAATTCCTCACCTATAACTGGTACTTCATTAGCATATATCGTAAACACAAACAGAATTATTATTCCTTTAAAGAGAAAGGAATTGTTAGTAGTGGGAACTATTCTAGCTAGCATTACATCCTGCCAAAATGGATCTCCCCTAGAAGCCAATGTGCTGAATTCCAGGTGTATTCATCACAATTGGCTAACAGACCTGCATCATACCTCACTGGTGCCCCACCAGCGTGTACCATCAGCACTGGCAGAGTTGCCATTCTATTATTATTAGTTAAAATAAAACTATTCCTTTATCACTCTATATGTCAAAAAAGAACTTACATTATTAAATCTGATTCTAAGGCAATATTATATCTATTAATGATGATTTAATAAATCATGAATGTTAGCAATTTGTAAATTGCTTAGGCATTTAATCATTAATATTTAATCTCATTTGTATTAAAACTGTTATTTTCAGTGATAACAAAGTGAACAATTATATTTTTATAAACATACCTATATTGAATTCCTTATCTGGATGTACTTTCTTTAAATTGTCTATAACAAAATTGGTCTGTATGAGTGCCAGCTGAAAATAAAAGTATGCCATTTTTGTACAATCATAATAAAATATCATAAAGACTGCGTTCCACAAAAAAAGAAAACCAACTTCAATTGTGGCAAAATTAGTTTATTTTTATTAAAAACTTAAATTACTGAATCAAATTGAAATAAATTATTAAGTAACCAATCTGAAAGTATATGCTTTCAGATAAAAAAGAAATTTCCAAATCGGTTTGTAACTAATGGATGGTTTATCATCTACCAAATTACTACTACATTTATTACTTATTAATTTACATAAAATAATACATATTTCGCATCAATGGGAATAAGAAAGTATATTTATAAGGGAAAACGTAGTCAATAGTAGGTATATAATAAAAATTTTAACGTATTAGCATATAACTCCTTGCTAATTAATATAACTTTTATCGGTGATTTAATATAAAACAACAGTTGATAACTTACAAGAAATTAACTATTTGTCTTAAATTACTCTAGAAACTTTTAATTATTTAACAACTCACCTCGCTTTTCCTTGAACCGACGTTTATAACATCCTTTCGTTGATTTTCCATTGCTAATAATTGGGGAGATATAAATTAATAATTTTATTTAAATATGAAGGTTATGTCATGCAAGAATCGTCATGTACGGTAATGGATATTTAATTTTATAGTGATTATTTTAATAACTACTTGTCACTAACACTGTAGTGGACAAGCATTAAAAAGTAATTTTGAATTTATAAGGTTTAACTCATAATTATTCACACATAGGAGTCACTTTCAATGAACAGGACATGATTAAATAAATTGATAGGTGATTACTGACATTTGGTTACCGACATGACAGTCATGCTTACAGTGATGTTAGTTTCTTAAATTGACATTGACTTTAAACGTTATATTAACTGTCAACTCTAATGACATTTACTTCGTAAACGGTCAATTTCAATTGGAAGTAAACGGTACCTATTTCATTTTTGTAGTATAGGGATTACGGTGATCGTAACTGCGTGTTTCTTAAATTCTAATAATAATAAACATCTACCTATTCCTTTTACGATAAGATATAATAAATTAAGAGAAATGATCAAATAGAGATAGAAGAAAGAATATTTCCATAGAAGTTTATGCAAATTTTTATCTTTAACTAGCTTTTTGTAAGTGTAGTTTCTAGAAAAGGAAAATTAAAAATAGACCACTTCCAGATGGTATATTAAAATGAAACATACACGATATTTTGTTAGTCTTTCAGGAACACAACTGTCAGAACTGCATTAAATTTGGAGCAGTAGTTTTTGTGTGATGACGAAACAAACAGAGAAATCAAACTTGTAAAAATTATTGTTTTAACATCTAGTGGTCTTAAAGCCTCTTATATTAATATTTCTAATTCATCATCTATTTACAATTTTATTATATTAGCAAGATGACCATGACAAAATGAAAAAGAAAATTAATCGTTATTAGTAACTTATTCCATATACCTAATTATCTAAAAATGTTATGTATAGTTATAGTCAACATTTATTTTTAAATGTCTATGATTTTTATGTAACGTATCACTACATAGTATAAAATAAAGTCGCTGTCACTGTCTGTCCGTCTTTATGTATGCTTAAATCTTTAAAACTACGCAACGGAATTTGAAGCGATTTTTTTTAACAGATAGAGTGATTCAAAAGGAAGGTTTATATGTATAATACATGCATAATTTTGTAGAGAAATACTGATAAATTTAGAGGTTACTAATGTGATGTCGTAAATAAACAAATTTTTTTGCGCTGGTATTGCAAACGCTGGCTGAACCCCACGAGATAAATCAAAATAATGCACTACAGTATTGTACACCTTAAAAAGGTCAAAAATAAAGTTATCCTTTACATTTTACGGGAAAAAATGGCTTATTTACGAAGAGATTTTAAGCAATACAGCATAAATTTTTATCCAATTAGGTAACTTAAATATATTGTTAATTTAATATAGATCAATATCGTCCTTTACAACATGTAATTTAAACAAATATTTTTGAAGATATTACAGATTTAAAATGCAGGGACATAGTGGTGCGGCGGTACCGGCCAGGCCGGCGGCGAGTGCCTATATAATAGCGCGTCGAAGGCCGCACTTTGCCTTATAGCACTTTATTATGTTTGTATTGTCTAATGACATTATTTATAAGGATATTCTGTAATATTTAGTATCAGCATTGGACCCGTGCGAAGCCGGGGCGGGTTGCTAGTTAATAATATAAAATACAAATATATTATAACAAATCACTTTATTCATCTACAAGAGAATTACACAAGAAAATATTCGAAACGGATATTTCGCAGAATTCCGTTAAAATACTAAATGCAAAAAAAAAATATTAAGCCAAAAATCGCGTTGATACCCCAACAGCGAGAATATTCAAGTGCGATGTATATTTTTTAATTGTAAATTTTGCGATAGGTAGGTACATTATACTTAAATGTCTAAAACGCAAACAAGTCATTCAAAATACCTAGCACTATTGTTTTATTATTTACATAGTTTCTATATTTTTTTATTAGGTGGCTAATATTTAATTAAGTGACGCGTTAGGCAATAAGCCTAAGACGAAAATATAGTGAAATCTTGGTACGAAACGTAAAATATCGCTGTAATTTTATAAATTGTAAATAGTAAAACTACAAAACACATCTATTAAAATCACAGTCTGATTTTCCCACATTCATAGTTCTCCCAAAAATTTTTATTAGTGTATACCAATGGTGGTTTAATTCCTCGCACCAAATTAATAAAAAAGTATATTAATATTTTTATTAATTACTTTTATAGATTTAAAAATACGATAAACAATGCAGTAATGCAGCAATCGCGACATTGAATTTAGTTTATTCAGCTGTGTGAGTAATATTATAATAAAAACTGATCAAATAAACTTGAATTTTATTTACATTGATTGATTCGAATTTCAATAATTCGAATATTGTCACAATTTTGTGAACTTATGTTATACTTAGACATACATTTTTTCAATAATGATTTTGATTTAAATAAAATACATAAAAAAGGTCATTTGGTATACTGCAAGAATATTGAAATTATAGAAATCTTTAGTTGTAATAAATCAATATTTCTGGTTGTAACTAAGAATGTTAATTCTAATACATAATGAATTATGATTACGACATTATTAAATGACAAAATAATATCATCAATATTGTCAGACACAAGGCGGCACAACACTTATTTGGTTCAGAATACGGAATAAACTAGAAAGCAGACTTCAGATCATTGTAAGATTTATTTCCACGAAAAATGGGGAGATACAAAAATAAATACATTCTAATTAATCAAAAAAATTATCAATATCAGTTTTATTAACGCGTAATTACAACATTACACGAGTGTAGGGAACAGGTGAAGGATAAAGTTGTACGTTCTACATTCTAAATTGTTCCGTATCCAGAGTTTGGAGTTATAAATCTACAATGCATTAAAACAATATAATCGGACAAAGAAACTAGTAGCAGCTCCACTAATTTTGCTTGCGCCTACTGCTTCGTAGACGTCTCCGGTTGTTGGGAATGATGATGGAGCATCTTTTTTCTGAAAGTATGTTATGTTTTATATTAGTAGACCTACAAAATATTCAAGTAAGTCTGCATATATTTAAGACAGTTGTTAGTTAAATATTCAAAGATAATACAATAAAAAAAGTGTATAAAGTGTGTATAAGAAGAAAATGCTATCACAATCTGCTTAGTCTCATAAGATAACTATTCTGATAACAATGTATTGATAATAAACATGGGTTGAGTTTTAACAAATGTTAATGAACTATGTAAAAATGTTTACATGATTAAAAAGAGTGTGCAATTTACTTGCAGTAAATTTGACAATTCTCACTGGTTTCACAGGACTGTATCCAGACTACTGTAACTATTTAATATCGTTTGCTACAATTGTAGTATAAAAATATTATTGATAAACACATATCATTGTAGTGCATTGCATGAACTTATACTTACTTTTAGGTCTCAGTGGCGATTTTTCTTTTTCAATAATTTTAACTTCTTTTTTCATAGCAGCCTTATTTCTACTTCTGGTGTTATTATTGCTCTTAGGAGTAACTATTTCTATATCAATTTTTTTCTCACTATCCATACTGACAGTCTTCTTTCTTGTCACTCGAGGTTTGGGTTCAATTACTTGAACATATTTCTTCTTCATGGACCTTGTGCATCTTGGTTGTACTTGCACTACTTCCTTTTTCGCCGAACTCTGTTGTTTCAATGCATCAAGTTTTTCTTTAGCTTCTCGTTTCTCTTTTATTCTGTATATTTTGATCATTGCTGGAGTATAACCTTCTAAACCTTGTGGACATTCTTCAGAGTCTTTAGTCACTTTGCCTGCAGCTTTTTTCTTGAAGTTAGCCAATACTTCCTTCATTGCATAAGTAGGATTTATTCCTTGGAAGTAATCTTTTTGCATCAACGGTGATTGGAGATGATCAATAGAACCATCTGATGAAGCATTGGATAACTTTCTGATTCTATATTTGCAAGTATTTTCATCATCATCATCATCTTCATCATCTACCATAGCAACATTGCGTTCTTTACGGATTATGTCTTCTGGGTTACCAGCTAATATTTCAGCCCAAGTGAATTGTCTTGCAGACCCCATAAAGTTCCCAAACTTTCCAATACTGTTTCTGTGCCTTTTCACACCCCTCCGTTTCTGAATAGTTTTCTTTTTAGAACGTAGGTTTTTCGGTGACAATTTCTTGCCAAGTATGTCGAGCGGCATTAATGACTTCTTGAGACGAGCCACCAAATCAGCATCAGATATAAAGAAGTTTCGGGAGGTACAAGGTTTACGAATTCCATCACTAGAGGTGTTTAGCGTTTGTTTTAATAATTCCAATTTGAGGTCATTTTCTAAGGAATAAACATTTTCTCTTTCATATGCAGTTTTTATTCCCTTTCTAGATAAGAAATCAGGAGGTGAATTTTTCTTACCAAATCTTTTTGAATAACATAGTTTGTTCCGTTTCATTGGTGATATAGGTACTTCTGTAAAGTTGAGAAGTACTTCTTTATCACCAATATTACTAGTTTTCAATAACTCACTTCTAAATAAGTTCCTACAATAGTCATAATCTGGTTGTTCAGTGAAATCTAGACTTGTAATATATTGCAAATATTTCTCCATAAATTGTGGGAAAAATTCAGTCTTAAAACAAGTTTTCAATAGTAATTTTATATCTCCCATGAAATTTTTCTTTAGAGCATGTACCAAATCTGGTTCGGCAAGTACTTCTGTGGTCTTCCAAGGCAGGGTACCCGTTAACCAGTCCAATAAATTGTAACCAAGTGTTTCCAAGTCAGAGCGACGTGAATGAGCTCCAATATGCGAGTCTCTTGAACTGTACTCTAATGTGCCATCATGAGCTTTTCTAGCATCCATACCAAAGTCTTTGTGATTACCTTCCGAATCTAAAAATTTTGAGGCCAATCCATAATCTAACAAGTAAATTTGCCCATTAGATTGTGATTGTATTGCTTCCCTGTATAAGTCATTTAACTCATCCACAAATTCTTTTTGTTGGTTTGTCTTTTTAGTTTCTCTGAACTCTTCTGTTGTACGTATGAAATTATTCCCAAAGTCATCCAGTAATCTTTGATATGATTGATCAGAGCAAACAGAACTATTTAAATCCTCATAGTTTACATAATTAGACAGCTGTCTCAAGTTGAATGCATGATGTCGGTGTAAGGTCCTATTGTCTCTATCCGAGAGAATTTTTCTCAACTTTCTTTTAACATTTGCTAATCTCTTGTCATTTTCTGATCTATCTTCAGAACTTGGACTTTTATAATCTCTGATAACAAAGTCTTCATCGTCATAGTAATTAGAAGATCTATATTTTCCATTTTTAGCCTTTCTATGCTTTCCAGATAGTACAGCAACTTCTTTAGTCTCTTTTTGGAATGATGGTGTGATTTTTATGGAAGGAACTTGTCCTGATTTAGAGCCAGCAAAGCCGAGCATAAGATTGGAACTTTTTATATCTGAATGTGTATAGCCTTGGCTATGTAAATACTCCAATACATCCAAAATTTGTATGGCTAGCACTAGAACATTTTTCAGATCTAATACCTTGGTTCTAGCTATAATTTTTTGCAGATCAATATCATATCGGGGTAATACAAGAAAACGATATTTCATTCCTGTACTATCATCTGTGAATGATCCACTGGCGATGTAAACTGGCATGCCAAGGCGCTTTAGTTTGTTTTGTTGTCGCCATGATTTTACTGAAAGAAAAAACAGACTTTTTGGAAAAAATCTTTTTAAAACTATGTGCAATAGCAAATAGCACACAATTCAAGTAAATTTTTTTCTAACAAAAGAGTTTTTAAAAGAAAACTATGTTCTCAGTTGCATAATTAAAATATTGGAACAAAAAACATTAAATAATCATACTAACCTTTAGAAACCTGTGCAGATCTGATTAAGCAATGTATTTCCACAAATAGTGGTCCATTTGTGTGTGGTTCTATTTTCACCACATATCTTGCATTCAATTTTGTCACTTCTTTGTTCACATCATCTGAAGCAAGATATATGCGCCCAAAACTACCTCGACCTGTAATTTTATATGATATTGATAATCATAGACATTGACAGCAGTGTTCAAGGGGCACCTTCTTGTACCAGCAATAAAATACATAGAAAATATTTTTGTTTTTTGTTTATTAAATTATGATTTAAATAAAAAGACATCTAGGGTGCTGTTTAGTTTTTGAAAATTTACTAGTTAGCTATAATTTTTATTGCACAAAGAAAATATGTATTAGGCCTGTTTATAATGAATTCTAATAAGAGTAGACAAAACCTAACAGATATTTTACAAGGCTGTAACATGTGTATTTATACACACTATACATGTTTTCGTTTTGTACTTTTCCTTTTTGACATGGTTGATTTATAAATATTCAAAGAGTTCAGAATGATTGAAAATGAATATAAAATGCTATATTTCCATGCAATGCTTAAAATAGTTTCTTGTATTTTATCATGACCAGCTGAATTAGGTTTTTTAATGTTTATGTTATTAAATACTCACCAATAGGTTTTCCAATGCGCCATTTCTTCTGCTGGACATCAGTGAATACTATACCCGGTGGTAATGCCTCATCATCGGAGAAACTAACGTCCAGACTTGGCGGCTCTTCAACAATTTTATTTTTCTTCCTTGGCGGCATAGGGAGCTGTGCTACTTCTGTACTTCGCCTCGGCATCACGACAACATTAGGATACTATGACGAAATTCTTAAGTTCAATGATCTTCAAGTAATATATGTATGCCAAAGTAAGTTTCCACAATCTAAACAACTGAAAATAAATGTCATGTTTATCTTCTATAGCGTAAGGATAAGTAGTTATAATTTAATAAAAGAACATGCAGTAGCACGTGAAAAGGAAATGCAATTAACGGCTAAAAAGTTATTCAACAAACAATTACCATATATCTCTTTCTGTACGTAAAGGAAATAGTTATGAACAATAATAATTATAAACAATATGATGTTAATGATATATGTGAAGATTTAGCGGCACATATAAACGTATTTACACTGTAATTCAAATGTTTGAAATAAAAATTATACGATATCCAACAACTGATTACAAGATCGCCATGTTGTTAGAAATCAACCGATCAATGCTCATGAATGACATATCAATGTCTATACAAGTCAAGTACAGGTTATAAAAATTAGGTTAGAAATGCTATTTTCGACTCATATAAATAAAATGAATTTGATTAATACACCTTCTAGTCTTTTTGTTCAATACTGTAAATATATCTATTTGTTGTTTAAATGATTAAATTGAGAATTTATGACAAATAATTATAGATATAGAATGTAATAGGTTATGTGCCAAATATTCTTTATCTATGTACGATTTAAGCGCTAACCGATTTCTTAACCCTGAAAAGGACACAGTGACATTTATTATAACCAACTTTACGGAATGGAGATTGATTGTTATGTATGTATATTGTATTTACCATCCAAAATATTATGATACATACTAAAACCTTATAATTAATTTACTAGATAATTTATATAAAAATAACGCTTTTTTAGAATTTGAAAGTATTTGTTCAATTAGAAGTTAATTTATTAGTCTGAAGTTTATAGTTAAATAGAAGTATATAAATTAACCATCTTCCGTATCTATAGTACCAGAATAATATTTACTGTTTTACTGTAATATTTAGGAATGGAGAAATAAACGGAGGGAGCGTTCATATTGAAGTGTAAGTAGTGAGAGGAGGCCGGAGTCGCTGGAGCCCTGCCTGAGGGAAGGCAGGTCGCGATGCGGCGCGGTGGCTTTTCATTCACGAGTCGACAGCCGTGCGGGAGGTTGGTCGTTTCGTTCCGCTTCCGCGCGAACATTTAACACGATGTTTATTGTTTGTCAACAAAATAAAATTGTTAACATGTAACTTTGTGTTTGGTGATTCCATTAGACAATTTTTATTTTTTGTCCAGTTACAATTGAATAAAACAGGTGTGTCAAGTTAAAGTTATAAGTGGTAGAAGATGGACGGCGCGAACGCAGACTCAGATCATTCTATGACTTGGGAGGACATTTTCGGTGTGTATGACAATTATTGTATTAGTATAATAAATATATATTATAAGTAAGCAATAAATAGTAAAAAAAAAAAAATCAATTTCAGGCACATAATATCTGTGTAGATAATTTTAATTTGTATTTAGTTATTCAATTGTATTGAGGTTAAAAAAATCTTTATGCTTAGTTTTAGCTAGTTTTACATTGCTATTGCAAATGTTGTAGGTTGCAGTGGTTGATTAGCATCAGGTAGACTGTATGCTTAATTGTTACACTGGTAGAATAAAAAAAATGTCTCTTTATTAAGATAATTATTTAAGATAGTTATAAAATTATAAGTATTTAGCTATTATCAAAGCTTTGTATTCTTTACAATTTCCTGCCTCATTTAATTATGCTGACTGCCATTATGTATGTAAAACATTATAACTTGCAGTTTATAAGATTACGTTAGATGTGTAGAAAACTTTAGAGAACAATAATCGTTTACCATCAGACGGGCTGTATGCTTGTTTGACATCTTCGTGGTATAAAACGAAAAAGGGAAAAATATTAATTTTTACAACTTTGACTTTACAATAATTAATGCTTAGGTTTTTCTGATCGACAAATTTCATTAATAATCGTAGTGAAGTCTTTGTGAATCTTGTTATTATTTGTTATTGTTGTTATCTATTTATATATATATATATATATATATATATATATATATATATATATATATATATATATATATATATATATATATATATATAAATAGTATATATAAATAGTATTTGAAAACTGTTCAGTTAAATAAAATAATTTATTGTTAAATTATTTTTTCGTTCGTGGTATGTGAACTCTAAAAGGGTTGAATAGTTTTACCTATCTTCTTTAAGCTATCCCTATATATAAGCTATATTATAATATTAAACAGTAAAATCAATATTCAATTATGTAGAAAATACCACTGTGACGTAAAATTGTTTTAGTCAATTGAAATAAAAAATCTGTAGATAGCCACTGAGTTTTTATCGAATGAACAGTTATTAATATTGTGCCCAATAAGATGTTTCACGGTGTTTAATATTTTATCTGTTCGACCTTAACATTCAAATTATTTAATGTTTACTTTTGTAATAGATACAAAGTGCTAAATATCGGCTATAATCGTGTCAGCGATCTACACAATGACTAATGCATCAATAATTCAAAACGTTAACAACAACCTACTAAGAATATAATAAAACGTATGCATCATGCCAAAACTATACGATTAAATTAGGTGTGAGGAATTTAGTTCTTAGCTCAAACAAATTATATATGTAGTAGGTAGAAATATCTAAGGTATAGAAAATAATTAATATTGTGTATAATATTAGGTTAAGTCTGTGGATGCAGGTGGCTCAGAACCGTTTTTATGGGAGTCCATAAGGCAGGCTTATGTCCAGTAGTGGACAGATAATGGCTGAAATGATAATGATGATGATGATGACGATTATGTGTATATATATATATATATATATATATATATATATACATCTTTCCAGATAAAAATAATGTAAATCTATAACTAGTAAAAGAGGTAACCAACATAAAAAAATGTAACCGAATCGAAAATCTTTTCTTTGAAGTCCGTTAAAAATTCAATTTATTTTCGTCATGATAATTGTTTTCATTTAGATCATTCAATCTATTTCAAATTAATTTAAAATTATTATAATCCTTAATCTGTTGTTATCTTTCATATCACCATTCATCAACTTTCTTGTTAAATAAATACTAGCAATAGTAATTCTAATAGGTACATACGTATTTATAACCTTAGTGCTGATAACAAATTGTCGTTTATTCGCGTAAGTGACTTACAGGTTTGCGCGCAGTTTCCGTATAAGGAGTTTTGCTGCGTTCACTGCACCTTCGTCGTACACAGTCTCTGGGCCTCTTATTATACGTGATCAATCTTTACTCTATCCGTGTAACACTTGAACGAGTATACTGGCTACGATAAAGATGGAATTTATTCAGTTAATTTCAAGGATTATAGCATCTTGTGTTTAATAATATAATACTGATCACTCTATTAATATAATTTGTATTGTCCTGACGATTTGTGTTATTATTTAGATTACAGAGTAGCTTCGAATTTTGCAGATCCCCCTTACTTATTTGTTTAAATTACTCTACTCATAATGTATTAAACTTTGAATCGATATATTTAAAATTAAAAACCCGCAAATGTTCATGAGACGGAAATATATTAATTAACCGTGACGAAAAGTAACTTACATCCTTCTCCATCCCTAATACTAAATTTTATGATGATTGGTTAGGATATTATGGCGCCAAATGGTAGCAAAGAAATAAATTCACTTTGACATTTATATTAATAATCGTATCCCGCGGCTTCGTTTGCTTGAATTAATATATTAAGTATCTTGTGCTTAATTAGCATATGATATATTCGTATACCAAACATTCAAATCTAGTCACTAGATTTTGCGTGAAATATTAACAAATATCCATTTATAGATATGTCTTCACAAGTTTTATCATTTAAAAATATATTTTGTGGTCTCAAGAAATCTAATTTTATTGTATTTTGATTGAAGTTGTTATAATGAACAATTGTTATCGAAATAAAAATTATTTCAACTTTAAGATTGTACGTATCTAATTATCTATTCATTCAAGAATCCATTGTTCTCATTTAAAAAAAAATCGCATGATTAGTATCATTACAATTGTTTTGTAGACTTGTACTTATTTTCTAAGTAAAGCAATACACGATAATGTGTTAGGAGCACTTATTATAAGTACGCGTACCTGGTGTGATCAAATTTTCCATCTCTTTTATTCCGCATAAATAGGATAGAAACAAGTTATAACAAACAGCCAATGTTTGGCCAACCTCTCGAGTTCACAAATACGCCAATTGACGCTGTTTGATTCATACGGTAGAGCGATGACTTTTAGTTACTTCTAAGAAAAAACGGTAATTCAACATAAGTTTCAACATAGGTAAATACTATGTTTTTAATTGTATCAATATATCACAATCTAGTATTCATTTATGCCTATGGGCGTAGAAACAGAATGGATTATTGTCTCTTAAATATTATTTCTAAATTTTATTACGACTTATTTAGCAGTTATTACGTTAATAGTTACTGTATTAAAAGGTAACAACCATATATATATTATATTTATAATATTAGGAACGATTAAATAAAATATTAAAACATAAAAAAGCTTACTTTGTGAGTATGTGAAATAAATTATTGAATGTGTTTTTTAAAACAAACTTCTTGCGTCCGGATATCCGAATAATTTAAAATTCGATAGTCGGCTTGATTTCAATTCAAAAATGGAATATCTCCGATCTGTTCGTTTTTGTTAGCATATGAAATACAATTAACATTCAGTTTTGTTAACTTTTATGTTTCCTTTTTTAATATTGTTGAGGTTCATTTAGTAGAAATAAAAACTTAAGAATTCATGCTAAATCTATATCTTCTTGTACATAATATTAACTATGCATATGTTATTTTTACAAGCTTTTATTTATGAGCGTAGACCAAGTAATCAATCAGCGCTAATATATTTTTTTTTATAAAAACGATCATGAGCAGTAAAGTGTTGAATGGTAATGAACTTATTATTAGCAACATAGATAGATACAATTTATGTTGCCATTGTTAAAAAGCTAAGAAGGTGCAGAACAATTTTTTCAAAGCTCTCTTGGCGTATCGGTGGAAAAAGATATACAAAATTTGTACTTTCAGTAAATTTCAGTAAGTACATACCTATTAATTCAGAAGTACGTTTTTTAAGCTACGAAGGTGGCTAATAAGTATAGAGTCCGTCCGATGGTAAATAGTTACAGTAGCCTATGGACGCTGGCTACACTAGGTGTGTAGGGTACATCCTATTTGAAGAACTCCATATTGTAGTTTCTATTGTAGAACCTCGGCTAGGAGTACGTTCCATATTCAGGATGTGGCGTTTGCGGGATAAACTTCTGAAATTGTACTGCATACAACCATTCAGGTTTAAGAGTGTAAGGATGAATTCGCTGTCGATGGTGAGCAGTGCGATGATAAAATGTGGCTGTAGGCATCATTTCAAACAATTCCTCAGAACACAATCCTTTATGCAAGCGGTAGAATAAATAAAGGAAGGCAAAGTCTTCTTTTATACATAACGGTTTGATACTGCCTGTGAGCTTGGGATCGTCGACGATTCTCATAGCCTCCTCTTTGAACCGAGTCAAGAGGACCAAGCTGGTACCTTTTTAATGGATAATAATGGAATGGCAACCAAACCCACACTAACTGTATATACAGGCGGGACACCAGTGAGGGATGACAAGTGAGAATGAAAAGGTAGATCAGTTAGCCTATCATGATGAATATACCTGGGATCCAGTACGAGGATTTCTAGGGGGGACCACGTGACATGGGACCTGACACGGTATATTGCTAGCAATAGAACTGGTAGTTCCCATTACACTTTTTAAGCAAGTTAGAATGGTGAACAAGCTGACGGCCCACCTGATGGAAAGTGGTAACCGTCGTCTATAGACATAACTAACAATCCTCTCCCCCCGTAGCTGATATCCAGAAACTCCGCTTCAATACTGCATGAGGAGTTGACTTTGCGACTTGCACAGCAATTGTATTTGTTTCGGGGTGAACTACCGATTCGTTCTATAGTACGTATATGTTTATTAAAAAGTTAGGTATTTCTAATATTTCTGTATTTAATTTTAAATACGTTTTCGTTATCGGTCAGTGACGTAAGAGTAAGTCCACCTCGTATGCACAATGTGCATAAGGGCCACATGAGTTTGTCAATATTGTTTTATTGGCATTTCACGGCTGTTTGCTTATAATACGCTTCGAAGAGTAGGTATGTTTGTAAATATCAATAGGTGTATCCTTCGTTTGTCCAACATTATAAATTACGCTATCAAAAATGACATCATAGAATACATTGTAATAATCACGGTATTTCTTATGTGTTACCACTCCTGACGA